CGGAGCAGGAGGTGTTGTCCAGCAGGAAGAGCTCCTGTCCCATGGCCAGCAGCACCACGGTCACCCTGTCCTGGGCCAGCACGGTCCAGCACGGCGGGGCCTTCTGCAGCCCTGCGGGGACAGTGACACCCCTGGGACACGGGGACACAGGGACAGAGGGGACAGGGAAGGACAGAGGGACAGACAGAGAGGGACTGGGGACAGAGGGCACTGAGGGATGGTGGGACAAGGAGGGGACACATGGAACAAAGTGGGGACGGGGGTAGACAGAGAAGGACAAAGAAGGACAGGAGGGACAGTGGGGACAGAACTGAGGGGCATGTGGGACAAGGGGACAGTGGGGATTGGGGACAGAGGGACAGAGAAACAAGGACAAGGGGACGGGGGGACAGAGGGACAGAGAAACAGAAGGGGAACAGGGAGTACAGAGGGGACAGAGAGGGACAGAGGGGTCAGAAGTGCACAGGGGGACAAGGGGACAGAGAAGGACAGCGACGGACAGAGAGACAGAAGACAGAGAGAGAGGAAGGACAGAGGGACAGACAGAGAGGGACTGGGGACAGAGGGCACTGAGGGATGGTGGGACAAGGAAAGGACACATGGAACAAAGTGGGGACAGGGTAGACAGAGAAGGACAAAGGGGGACAGGAGGGACAGTGGGGACAGAACAGAGGGACAGAGAAACAAGGACAAGGGGATGGGGGGACAGAGGGACAGAGAAACAGAAGGAGAACAGGGAGGACAGAGGGCACAGAGAAGGACAGAGCGGGACACGAGGGACAGAACAGTGGAGCATCTGGGACAGTGGGACAGCAGGGATTGGGGACAGAGGGACAGAGAAACAAGGACAAGGGGATAGGGAGGACAGAGAAACAGAAGGAGAACAGGGAGGACAGAGGGGACACAGAGGGACAGACAGGGACATGGGGACACCCACCAGGGACCTCGGGCAGGCGGCGCAGCTTGAGGTCGTCGATGTTGGTGGCGAGGGAGAAGCGCAGCGCTCCCGTCAGGATGGCCACGCCCGTGCCGAACTCCGTGTGGAACACCTGCGCCTCCAGCACGTGGTTCTGCAGCACCTCCTGCAGGACACGCCGGGAGGGGACACTGGCGACACGCTGGGGACACGCTGGGGACACCGGGGCTCAGCTGGGGCAGGCGGTGAACGCGCTGCTCTCCGGGATGGATCCTTCCCCAGGGATGCGACAGCCCCGGTTCTGCATCCCCCAAACCCCACCCAGGGCATCTCACGAGGGGAAAATGGAGAAGGTGAGATTGGGGTGGGATTTTGGGAAGGAATTCCTGGCTATGAGGGTGAGGAGGGGCTGGGATGGAATTCCCAGAGAAGCTGTGGCTGCTCCTGGATCCCTGGGAGTGTCCAAGGCCAGGCTGGACAGGTTGGAACAGCCTGGGATGGTGGAAGGTGTCCCAGGGCAGGGGTGGAATGGGACGGGCTGTGAGGTCCCTTCCCACCTGCCCCACCCCAAATCCCACCCCAAATCCACCCCACACCCCGTTCCCTCACGTTTCCCATGCTGAAGTGCCGCTTGAACTCGCAGAACAGGTTGTAGACCAGGACAGTGCCATCCTCCTGGATGCACAGCAGGTCCTCCCCCGCCGTCCAGCCCAGGTGCACCAGGGGGCCGCTCTTCCACTGGGAACGGCACGGAAGGGTCAGCCCCGAGCCAGGGACGGCCCTCCAGGGACACACCTGGCGTGCCGGAGCTCTGGCAGCTTCTCCACAGCTTGGACACCTCACCCTGAGGTCCAACACCTCACCTGGAGGTCCAACACCTCACCCAGAGGTCCAACCTCTCATCCAGAGGTTCAACACCTTGTCCACAGTCCAACACCTCACCCAGAGGTCCAACACCTCACCCAGAGGACTGACACCTCACCCAGAGTTTCAACACCTTGTCCACAAGTCCAACACCTCATCCTGAGGACTGAGCCTCATCCAAAAGTCCAACATCTGATCCACAGGGCTGACACCACACCTTATCCAGAAGTCCACCATTGACACCTCACCTGGAGGCTCAACACCTCATCCAAAAGTCCAACACCTCATCCAGAGGTCCAACACCCTACCTAGAGGTCCAACACCTCATCCAGAGATCCAACATCTCCTCCAGAGGACTGACACCTCATCTGGAGGTCCAGCACTGCATCCAGAGATCCAACACCCCACCTGGAAGTCCAGCACCTCATCCAGAGGTCCAGCACCCCACGTGTCCTGGCTCTGCAGGTCCCTGCAGTGCTGGCACTGTCCCTCCACTATCCCATGTCCCCCTCAGCCCCAGGCAGGGGGGAAGGAGGATGTTCCCATGGCTCCAGCCCTCATCCCACGCTCCTGTCCCATCCCCGGGCAGCAGGGAAAGGGTTAGGGTTCTCCTGCTCCAAACCCCATTCCATCTTTTCCCATCCCTGGGCAGCAGGGAAAGGATTCTCCTGCTCCAAACCCATCCCATCCTCTTCTCCCAGGCGTAGACAGGATGAAGGGACGATTCTCCTGCTCAATCCTGCTGCTTCAAACTCCATCCCATCCTTCTCTCCCATCCCTCACCAGCAGGGAAAGGCTTCTCCTGCTCCAAACCCATCCCATCCTCCTGTCCCATCCCTGGGGAGCAGGGAGAAGATTCTCCTGCTCCAAACCCATCCCATCCTCTTCTCCCATCCCAGGGCAGCTCCCATCCGTCTCCCCGTGCTCCCACAGCCCCGTCCCCCCACCCAGGCTGTCCATCCCCCCCAGCTCACCGGGAGACTGGCCAGGAGCAGCCCCGAGGCCGAGTAGATCTCCAGGAGCGGGCGGGCGCTGGGGGTCTTGTCCCGCCGGGAATTCCTCAGCAGAGCTGGGACAGGGACAAGGACAAGGAGGGGACAGTCCCTGAGCCAGGGGTGGCACAGCCCCGGCTCGGGGAGGGGGGCTCGGGGGGCTGCACCCACCTATGGGACCCCCATACGGGGCAGCTGCCACCACACAGTCACAGAGATCCTCCCGCAGCCCCCATTCCATGGAGTAGAGCTCCAGCTTCCTGATGGGACACGGATGGATGATGATGGATGGATGGATGGATGGATGGATGGATGGATGGATGGATGGATGGGTGGATGGATGGATGGATGGATGGATGGATGGATGGATGGATGGATGGGTGGGTGGGTGGATGGATGGATGGATGGATGGATGGATGGATGGGTGGGTGGGTGGGTGGGTGGATGGATGGATGGATGGATGGACATGCAACAGATACGGGGACAGGAGATCCACGGACAATGCCCATACCCAAACCAGCCCTGAGACTCCCAAGAAACCTCAGGAGCCCCAAGATCCACAGACACCCCGGGAACCCACAAAGATTCCCAGGAATCCCCCAGACCAGCACAAGGAGCCAGGGCCATCTCGGGACCCCTCCAGCAACCCACAGGGCCCTCCACCAGCCAACCCCAAGCCCACCCCGGGACCCCTCAGCCATCCCGGGACCCTTCAGCCATCCCAGAACCCCTCAGCCATCCCGGGACCCCTCAACCACCCCTGGAACCCCTCAACCACCCCTGGGACCCCTCAGCCATCCCGGGACCCCTCAACCACCCCTGGGACCCCTCAACCATCCCGGGACCCCCATCCCCAGCCAGCCCCAAGACTCGTGTCCACCCAGGGACCCCCTTAATCCCCCGGACCCCCATCCCCAGCCAGCCCCGTGGCTACCCCAGAACCCCCAAAGTAACCCCATAACCACACCCCAGCCATCTCCGGGATCCCCATTCTATCCCTGTCATCTCCCCGAGCCCCTCGAGCAGCCCCGGGACCCCCGAGCAGCCCCGGGACCTCCAAGCAGCCCCGGGACCCCCGAGCACCCTCAGGCCGGTGCCGCCCCCGCCGCCCCTCACCGGTAGAAGGTCTCCTCGCCCAGCGGGTTCCAGTTGGCCGTGTAACAATCCATGGCGCGGCCGGGATGGGGGAACCGGGATGGGCCGAGAGGAACCGGGACCGAGACCGGGTTCGGGACCCGGCGGTCCCGGCGCTTCCCTCAGCGCGCCACGCCCCGCGCGTCGCGCCGTGACGCAGGGCCAGGCGCCGCCATCTTGGGTGAGGGCACGGGCAAGTAAACGGGGAACCGCCGCCATCTCGGGTGAGGGCACGGGCAAGTGAATAGGGAACCGCCGCCATTTTGAGTGAGGGCAGCGAGAAAGGGGAACTGCCGCCATCTTGGGTGAGTGCAGCGACAAAGGGGAACTGCCGCCATTTTGAGTGAGGGCTGTGGGAAAAGGGAACCGCCGCCATCTTGGGTGAGGGCACAGGCCTGGTCCCTCAAGTGTCGCCTGTCTCCAAAGGTTTCCCCTCTCCCCCAAAATCTCCGTTGTCTCCCAGTGTGTCCCTTGTTCCTTAGGAGGCCTCTTATCCCCAGAGGTGTCGCCCAAGATGTCCCCTGTTCCACCCACATGTCCCTCAAGGGATCCCTCCTCCCTCAGGGTGTTAACTGTCCCCCAGGCTGTTCCTCACCCCCAGGGGATGTCCCCATGCCCCAAGATGTCCCTTGTCACACACACTGTTCGCACAGGTCTCTCTTTATTTCCTGCTGCTGGAAACCCAGGAAGGGCCACAGAAGTGCCCCCTTTGCCGGGGTGGGGATCAGGGGTGCCATGGTGGTGCTTCATGTGCCAGGGGTGGAGTGCTGTGGTGGAGTCCCGGAGCTGGAGTGCCAGGGTGGTGCCACATATCCCAGTGTCACGGTGCCAAGGCAGTGCCACGTTGGGGTGCCACGGTGGTGCTCTGTGTCCTGGGATGGAGGTGCTGGTGCTGCTGTGCCAGGATTGTGGTCGGAGTGCTGGGGTGGTGTCCCAGGTCTGGGTTTGGGGTGCCAGAGCGGTGCCAGGGTTCATGGGCAGCGACAGTGCCAGGGTTCGGGTGCCACGGCAGTGCCACGGCAACTCCTCATGTCCCGGGCTCACGGTGCCACGCCAGGGCCAGAGCAGTGCCAGGTTTGGGGTGCCATGCCACCCAGGCCCTACTTATTTCCATCGCCCAGGTCACAGCGGTAGTGAAAGATCTGAAAGTTCAGCAAGGTGCCCAGCAGCGAGGGGTACGAGGTGCCCACCTTGCGGAAGCCCTGCCCCTCGTAGAGCCGCTGCGCCGCCACCTGCACCATGGAGGTGCTGAGCACCACGGCACCGTACCCGCGGGCACGGGCGAACGCCAGCACCTCCCGGCACAGCGCCCGCGCCAGCCCGCGGCCCCGGTGCTCCCGGCTCACCGACATCCTCTTGAGCTCCAGCTCGCCGCGGCCGGCGGGCACCGCCGCCACCATGGCCGCCACGGTGCCGGCCTCCTCAACCACCCAGAAGCGGCAGTCGAGCGGGCGCAGGTACGTGCCGGGCACGTCGCACAGGTCGGTACCCAGCGCCTCGCGCACGTAGTCGGCGCTGAGCGAGCGCACCAGCACCCAGAGCAGCACCAGCGCCAGCGCCACCGCGCCCAGCCCCAGCACCCAGGAGCCCGCGGCCGCCCGCGCCGCCACGAACACGGCCAGCAGTGCCAGGCGCACCCGCGCCGCCCGCAGAATGTGCCGGAAGCCGGCCGGGGCGTGCTCCAGGATGCCGCGGGCAAACAGCGCCCGCACGGCCTCAAAGTCCTGATCCTGGTACTGCCGGATGCGGAACGACGCCATGGGGGCACCTGCGGGGGCACGGAGAGGGGTTAGGGGGTGATATAGGGGGGGTGGGCAGGGGGAGATGGATCTTGGGGCGGTACAGAGGGGTCAGGGACAGACAGAGTGACCTGATACTTGTCCCTGGTGTGGCACAGGGGGATCAGGGCAGTGCCATGGATGGAGGACCCCCAGACCCACCACTGGCCATGGCACAAGGGGTCACAGCAGCGCCCACTTTCACAGGGACCCTCGGTGTGCCCCCACACCCATCCTTGGGATGGCACAATGGGTCAGGGCAGTGCCCCCCCTCACAGGGGCCCCCAGGATATCCCCAAACACATCCTTGGGATGGCACAAGGGGCCAGGGCAGTGCCCACCCTCACAGGGACCCTTGGTGTGCCCCCAGACCCATCCCTGGCATGGCACAAGGGGTCACGGCAGTGCCAACCTTCACAGTGACCCCTGGGGTATCCCCAGACTCATCCCTGGCATGGCACATGGGGGTCAGGGCAGTGCCAGTGCCGCTCCCACCAAGGGTACCCCAAAAACAAGGGGTAAAAGCGTGGGGGGGGCACAGAGGAAGAGCTGCAGGATCTGGGGGTGCCGCCCCCCTCCCCGGAACCCCGGTACTCACCGGGAGCCGCGGCACGACCCGCCCCGGGCAAAGGTGGGCAGGGCGTGGGCCCCGAGCTGTGCCCGGGACAGGACAAATGGGCAAAGGGCCCGGGGGAGGCACGGGGACACGGGGACAGGAGGGGACAGGAAGGGACAGAAAGGGGACACGGGCACAGCCCCCCGGAGGGTTTGGGGGGTCAGACCCATGCAGGGCACATCAAGGGGGTCCCCGAAGTGCCCCAAACCTTTCTCTCGGGGGGTGCCCGGCTCCAACCTCCCCCCCAAAATCGCTCCCGGCCGCCCCCCCCACCTGCTGCTCCCGGCGCTGCCGCTCCTCACACCGGCACCGGCGGCTCCTCGGGGACAACCGGGGGGTCCCTCACGGCCCGAGGGGGGCTCGGTGACCCCCTGAGCACCCCCAGGGGATGTTTGTTTTGGGTGGGGGGTCTTTGTTTGGCGCACCCCCGGCCCGGCCTGTGCCTGCGAGCTGCCGGGTGCGTTCAGCCCATCGTTCTGCGCCGCTCAGGGTGGGGGGTCCGGCAGGATTTGGGGGGCTCCGGTGGCAGCACGGGGTCGGGGGGGGACACCCCCGGTTTGGGCCGTGCCGAGGCCGGCGGAGGCTCCGGTGCGCGGCGAGCGCAGGCGCCGAGCGGGAAGCGCTGCTGCCCCTGCCGATGATGCCGTGAAGAGATCCCGGAAGGTTGTGGGGTCACGGGGAGGGGGATTTGGGGGAGCGCAGGGCACGGGGGGCCCGGGGAGTGGCGGGGGGACACTGCACGGGACCCCTGTCACCCCCAAATCGCGGCGGTGGGGCAGCGATGGGGGAGCGGGGTGGGGGTGCAGCCCCTCGCAGAGTTGGTGTCCCAACTGTGGGGACACCCCAGCCCTGCCCAGGGTCACCCCAGAGGGCTTGGGGGGTCCCCGTGGTGATGCTCGCCCCCCCAGCCCCGAGCTGGAGCTCCCCGTGGGTGTCATGGGGGTCCCGGCGGTGTTGGGGACCCCCATGAACGGCTCAGCCCAGCGCTGGGGACAGCCCCGCATTTGGGGAGGGGGACACGGTGGCACCAGGGCCCAGCAGGGCACAGCCCCCCACCCTGCAGGACCGCAGGGGGATTAAGGGGGGGTCACCCCAACCCCTTTTTTGCACCCTACAACCCTCCAGTGCCCCCTCGGCTTTCCATGGGACTCGGGGTGCCCCACGCTGGTGCCCCCCATCTCCTGGGGGCTCAGGGGGTGCTGGCTCTGATGGCGGTGCCCGATCGCCCACCATGACCCCATGGTCACCCAGACCCCACCCCCGACCCTCTCTCGGTGTCCCCAAAGCCCCAACACCCCCCAGTGCCCCCCAGGACCCCCGGACCCTCCCAGTGCACCCATGGTCCGGCACTTCCCGAACCCCACAGCCAGGACACCCCCGGACCCCCACCCTGCAGACCCCCCCAGTGTCACAGCCCTGCCGGACATTGTCCCCAGGGTCCCCAGAGCTCCGCAGACCCCCCCAGGTCCCTGCAGCCCCCAGAGCAGCCCCAGCACTGTGGGGACACCTCCCGCTGCAGGTCCGCATTGTCCCCGCTGCCCAGGGACCCCCTCCGTGTCCCCCCAGCCCCGCCCCCTCCGCGCCGCCCATCAATCTCGCATGCCATTGGCCCCCGCCGCCGGCAGCAGCCAATAGGCTCCCAGAGATGAGGGGAGGGGCGGGACAAGGGCTCACGAGGTCATCGGGGCGGGGCCAAGTGATCCAATGGGAGAAGGGGGCGGGGGCGTGTGGAGCACCGACAAAAGGAAAGGGGCGTGGTTTCCTGGGCGTGGCTTATGGAGAATATACCACGGTAATGGGGTGTTCTTATGAGGGGCGCGGCTCGGAGCGGAATTTCTATTGGTCAGCACCGAATGGGCGGGGCTTAACAGCGGCGGAGCGACTGAAGGGCCAGGGAATGGGCGTGGCCTGCGAGGGGCGTGGCCTGGCCGAGTTCCCACGGCAGGGTCCGGGACAGAAACGAGCCCCGGTCCCGCTCCTATTCCCTGTCCTGGTCCCGTTCCCGGTCTCATTCCCGTTCCCGGTCCTATTCCCGGTCCCCTTCCCTTTCCCGTTCCATTCCCATTCCCACTCCCATTCCCTTTCCCGTAGCCGTTCTCATTTCCGTTCCCTTTCCTATTCCCGTTCCCGGTCTCGTTCCCGATTCCTATTCCCATTCACATTCCCATTCCCTGTCCCATTCCCATTTCCGGTCCCCTTCTCACTCCCATTCCCGATCCCGTTCCCATTCCCGGTCCCTCCGCCGCTCCAGCCCCGCACACTCGCAGCCGCAGCGCACCCAAACTTTACTGGATCCGTCCCGCCCGTCCCCCCGCGCCCCCCGGCCGATCCCGCGGCCCCGGGGCCGCCCCGCTCACTGCCCGCGGCCGTGGGCGCGCAGGCGGCGGAGCCGCAGCCGCTGCAGCCGCAGCGCCGGGTCCGGGCCCGGCCGGGGCCTCCCGGGCCGGTGGCGGCCCCGCGCCCGCGCCAGGCGGAAGCTGCACGGGGTGGGAACGTTCTCGAAGTAGACCCGGCACGGCTGCGTGGCCGCCTCGTAGCCCTCGGCCCGCGCCGTCACCTCGTACTCGCCCGGGTTCAGCAGCCGCCAGTAGTCCCCGTCCGAGGCTGCGGGGGTGGGGTCACACTGCTGTCCCCACCCTGTCCAAGTCCCCAGTCTTGTTCCTGTCCTTGTCCCCAGCCCCAGTCCTGTTCCTGTCCTTGTCCCCAGAACCAGCCCCGTTCCTGTCCCATCTCCATCCCTAATTCCCAGCCCCAGCCCCGTTCCTGTCCTTGTCGCCAGCCCCAGTCCCGTTCTTGTCCCATCTCGAATTCCCATCCCTGTCCCGATCCCATCCCCATTCCCAACCTAATCCTGCTTCCTTTGCCATCTGCAATCCCCAATCCCACTCCCCTTCCATCCCTGTCCCCAGCCCCATCCCATTCCTGTCCCCATCCTATTTCCATCCCCATCTGCAATTCCCAATCCCAAATCCCATCTCATTCCTTTCCCTGTCCCCGTCCCCATTCCCATCCTCATCCCCATCCCGTTCCCATCCCGTCCCTGTCCTTATCCCACCCTCATTCCCAGCCGGATCCCGATCCCGTTCCCGCCCCAAACCCCGCCCCTCCGTGTCCCGGTGTCCCGGTACCGGTGTCCCCCCAAACCCCGCCCCTCCGTGTCCCGGTGTCCCGGTACCGGTGTCCCCCCACACCCCGCCCCTCCCTGTCCCGGTGTCCCGGTACCCGTGCGGACGTCGTGGTTGATGCCATCCACAGAGATGATGGCGTTGGGGATGCCCAGCTCGGTGTCACTGTCCCGGACCACGCCCTTGATCCCCCGGTGCACCTGCAGGGCGTGGCACAGGTGGCACGGGTGTGTCCCCCGCTCCCGGTGCCACCTCAGCGTTTGGGGACAGCCACGTCCCGCTGCCATCCCGCTGAGCCCCCACCCTGCCGTGCCCATGGCCACCCTGCAATGTCCCCAGCGTGTCACCTCCATCCCCAAAGCCTTTCAGAGACCCCTGGGGGTTCCCTGGCCCTGCCCTGCCCATGACACAGTGTCCCCATTGTCCCAGCTCCCTCCAGACCCCACCCAGTGTCCCCATTGTCCCCAGATCCCACCCAGTGTCCCCATTGTCCCAGATACCCCCACATCCCAGCCAGTGTCCCCATTTTCTCCAAATCCCATCCATTGTCCCCACATCCCACCCAGTGTCCCCAAATCCCACCCAGAGTCCCCATTGTCCCCAGATTCCACCCAGTGTCCCCATTGCCCCAGCAACCCCAGACCCCCCACTCGAGACCCCTCCCCAGTGTCCCCATGATCCCAGAACCACCTGGATCCCCCCAGTGTCCCCATACCCCAAACCCCCCAAATCCCCCATCCTGTACCCCACTTCCCCATATTCCCATGGTCTCAGCACCCCCAGACCCCCTCAGTGTCCCCATGTCCCAAAACCCCCAAAATCCTCCATCCTGGATCCCCCAGTGTCCCCCTTGTCCCAGCACCCTCAGATCCCCTCAATGTCCCCATGCCCCAAATCCCTCAAATCCCCCATCCCGGACCCTCCTTCCCCAGGATCCCCCTGGTCCCAGGACCCCAGACCCCCTCAGTGTCCCCATGTCCCAAAACCCCCCAAACCCCCACTCTGGACTCCCAGAGTGTCCCCACGATCCCAGAACCACCTGGATCCCCTCAGTGTCCCCATGTCCCAAATCCCACCAGATCCCCCATCCTGAATCCCCCTTCCCCAGTGTCCCCATGGTCCCAGCACCCCTAGACCCCTCCAGTGTCCCCATGTCCCAAACCCCCCCAAATCCCCCACCCTTCCCCCACTGCCCCCCCATCCCAGCACCCCATTCCCCCCCATTCCCCCCCATTCCCATCCCACTCCATCCCCTCCGCACAGACAGACCTCGAGCTGTGTCCCCAAGCCCCGGGTGGTGCCACCCCCGGTGCCACCCGGTGCCAGCCCGTGCCCCACCTGCTCCATGAAGAGCAGCAGCGACTCGCGGTTGTTCTCCCACTCGGCGGGCAGCTCCGAGGCGTGCGGGAATTTGTCGCAGGAGAGCTCCACGGTGATCTCGAAGCAGTTGGTGTGCAGGTAGCTGAAGTCGTTCATGCCTGGGGGCACAGCGAGGGTGGCAGCAGGGGACAAAGGGACAGAAAAATCCCGGAGTGACAGGAAAATTCCAGAAATTCCCTGGATACTGAGAGTTTCAGACTTTCTGTGCTGGCAGCACTGACCCCCAGGAGAACACTGCATTTAACCTGAGGGCATAGAGAAAGCTTCCAAAATTAAATAATAGAACTAAAATTATGAATGTGCAGCTGGATTAGAAATGTGTAATATCACAGGGTGGAAACCTTGCAATTTAAAGGTTTAAAATATAATAATATCTCTAAAGCAAAATAGAAGTTTTGGGGCAGAGGTTGGTCCTGTCCTTCATCACCTTCTTCTCCATGGGTTTGGGTGGTTTGGTTTCAAAGGAAGGGGACCAGGACACCAGATGGTTCATCACAGGTCCAGTTTATTGAAGAAAGCATCAAACACTTATACAGCAAGTAATAAGCTTATGAATATTCTGTAAGCCAAGCAATCTATTGGTTAAACTATACCATCAACTCTTCCTCATTCCTTTGGGCCTACATTCTCTACTTCTCAAGTCTCGCTGTCTATTTCTTTATCATACTCAGCTAGGCCCAAGGACACGCTATCTTGCAGGTGCAGGACTTGGAATTATCCACGGCTTTGTACTTTTCCAGTCTCTAGTCAGCTAAATTCCCAACATTTCCCCTGTTTTTATTTTTTTTTGGAAAAAGCAATGTTCTGTGGGCTAACTGTGTCACACTCTTTGCAACACAAAAATAGGGAATTCTAACAACTATTATATTACAAACAGTATTCTCAGCTAGCAAGGTTTCTCTCTTACAAGGGATCTAAGCCAGCGAGACAAACCAAAAAGGCTATCACTATTTATAGGATATGCTATACGACAGATACAAAAAGGATTCCATGTGCTACAAGGCTCAAACAAAACTCAGGTGTGCTAATGCAACCTACAAAAACAAGCTAAAGGAATAAAATGTGCGCAGGTTTTATCTGCGTTGATTGTCTGGTAAGTTTGCTTTCTATTCTCAAACAGCCGATATACTTCAAACAGGAACGGCTTTACTCACAAATGCCTCTGATCGTCCCTTTTTAACTAAAGTTTCTCTGATGTTCACAACAACACTTTGCACACAAGTTATAAAATAAACGCCTATCATAAAAGTATAAATCTATCTAATATCACTTAAACTTAATAGCACTTAGACTTAAAATACATAAAATATTTAAACTTAACAGAACTTAACATCACTTAAACTTATTTTTACTTAAACTTAACAAAAATTAAACTCAACAGAACTTTAACTTAGCAGAACTTAAGTTTAACAAACCTTAACCTTAACAAAACTTAACCTTAAGTTTTGTTAACCTTAACAGATTTTTAAATCAACAGAACTTACATGTAAAATCACTTAAATTTAACAGAACTTAACTATAACAGAACTTAACTGACTTTAAATTCTACATAAACCTAATATAATTTAAACTTAACAGAATCTAACTTTACTTAATAACACTTAAACTTAACAGAAATTAAACTGAACAGCACTTAAACCTAACAGGAGATAAACTTAACAAAACTTAAACTTATCAGTATTTAACATTTAATGGCACTTAATAGATAATTTAACTTAAACTACTTAGCAACAGATAAAACTTACTATAAAAATAGAATATAGCATTTACTATAACTTACTTATTACATCTTACTTATACAATCACTTTAACACATCTTTCACATTTTTAAATTTTTCAAAATATAATTTCAGAGTCTGATGTTCCACTGACTGAGTTATTTGGGCTTCTGATATTTAAAGTCTATGATAATACAGGTGATTTTAAGACAGCATAACGGATGCTAAGCCAAATCGGCCGAAATTTGACCCACGCATTCAGTACGCTGATTTGTCTTTCAGTCTCTGCCAGGAAGAACAAAAAGTCCTTTTAACTTAGGCGAGGAACGTCTTGACAGTAATGCTCCTTGGTGTCGCTTGTTTATTATCACTGGTTTCTTAATTGCAGTAGGGATCTTTTGTTGACAAGAGTCACATTTATTACGGCTGTTAGGTCTCAAACTGAAGCTTTTTGGCGGCCGCAGGGCAGAGGGAGAAACGCTGGCGCTGGAAAAGCGCTCTGGTCCCGCGCCGCTTGTGTCGGAGCGGGCGACCCCGCCGCGCTGGGCTCTTTGTTTCGTGAGACTCGCCGGCAGGCGGAATCACTGCGTGCGCCGCACCCAGCGCTGCCCCCGCGGCGGCGCGGGTCGCTCCCCCCGCGGCGGCTCGGCTCCCCCCGCTGCAGCGCAGCATCTCAGGCGGCCGCTCGCCGCGGCTGCTCCCCGTGGCGCAGCGCCCATGCCGAGTCCGGAGCGGCACAGCCCCGCAGGCGCCCCGAGCCGCGGCTGCTGCCTTGCGCTCAGAGACATGCTGAAGCAGTGTGTTGCACGCCACCCGCCATGGCTTGCTCGGTTTCTTTGCTGTCTTATCATCTTCTAACACCGCTTCCCATAGTATATCCCCAAATTTTCTCCATTCCGAGAGTTCATGGACCGTATGAGGGTTAAGGAAAACTTCTGTAGCGTATCCGTAGGCTAACAACCCTGGTAGCTCCTTTTTTAAATCTATCCCCTTTACTCCTCGCCTTTCTAAATACGCGACGGATAAATCATATGCTGCTTGCCTATCCATACCTATTCGTGAGCGCGCTCTTGCAGCTTTCCAGGCTCCGGCAGCACGTAATGGCTTGAGTCACCGATGTGAACCCCGAGGGTGTTTCAAAATTCCGGCACCGTCCCGGCTGCAAACAGGACCCAGCTCCAGCTTCCTCGACCGTGGCACGTCCTCCCCCTTTTTCTTTTAGTGCGAGACGAGGGGGTCAACGTTCGGGGTCACCATAGGTCGAAGGAAGGGGACCAGGACACCAGATGGTTCATCACAGGTCCAGTTTATTGAAGAAAGCATCAAACACTTATACAGCAAATAATAAGCTTATGAATATTCTGTCAGCCAAGCAATCTACTGGTTAAACTATACCATTAACCCTTCCTCATTCCTTTGGGCCTATGTTCTCTACTTCTCACGTCGCGCTGTCCGTTTTTTTATCATACTCAGCTAGGCCCAAGGACACACCATCTTGCAGGTGCAGGACATTAGTCACGGTCTTGTACTTTTCCAGTCTCTAGTCAGCTAAATTCCCAACAGTGTGCCACTTGAGCTCATGAAGTGTCCCCACTCACTGCCATGTGCCCCCTTGAGCTCCATGTCCCTACTCACTGCCAGCCACTGTGTGCCACCTGTGCCCAGTGTCCCTACTCCCTGCCACGTGCCACCTGAGCTCAGTGTCCCTGCTCACTGCCACTATCTCAGAGTGTCCCTGCTCACTGCCGTGGTGTGACACCTGAGCTCATGGAGTGTCCCTGAGACAGAGTAGAGATCCATTCTGAATTAGGTGAAGTGTCTAGGAGAGGTGAAAAGTCTGTGAGGCCAAAGCTGAAGGAAAAACTGCATACCAGAGACAGTGAGGTGACAGAGAAAAAAAACCAGAAACGACCACAAGGTCAATTTGCCGCCGACCTAGGAATTCCTTTGATAAAGAAGAACTGGCGATAAATGTCACGCGGAATGAATATGTATGAACCTATTGTGAAACTGTATGCATATGCATTTGGAAGGGGGATAAAAGGAGACCTGAAATCCTCAGGGGTACGCATGCCTTTTGAGGAGGATTTCCTCTGCATGCGTACGACGTGCGCCGTAAATAAACATACCGGGCTTTACAACTTTTATAAAGTTATGAGGTTTCTTCTTTTCTCCACAAAACACCCCCCGAGCAGCCCCGGGAGCCCCGAGCACCCTCAGACCAGTGCCGCCCTCACCGCCCCTCACCGGTAGAAGGTCTCCTCGCCCAGCGGGTTCCAGTTAGCCGTGTAACAATCCATGGCGCGGCCGGGATGGGGGAACCGGGATGGGCCGAGGGGAACCGGGACCGAGACCGGGATCGGGACCCGGCGGTCCCGGCGCTTCCCTCAGCGCGCCACGCCCCGCGCGTCGCGCCATGACGCAGGGCCAGGCGCCGCCATCTTGGGTGAGGGCACGGGCAAGTAAACGGGGAACCGCCGCCATCTCGGGTGAGGGCACGGGCAGATGAATGGGGAACCGCCGCCATTTTGAGTGAGGGCAGGGAGAAAGGGGAACCGCCACCATCTTGGGTGAGTGCAGCAACAAAGGGAACTGCCGCCATTTTGAGTGAGGGCAACGAGAAAGAGGAACCGCCGCCATCTTGGGTGAGGGCAACGAGAATGGGGAACCGCCGCCATCTTGGGTGAGGGCACAGGCCTGGTCCCTCAAGTGTCGCCTGTCCCCAAAGGTTTCCCTTATCTTCCAAAATCTCCCTTGTCCCCCAGTGTGTCCCCAGTTCCTCGATAGGGCTCTTATCCCCAAAGGTGTCGCCCAAGATGTCCCCTGTTTCACCCACATGTCCCTCAAGGGATCCCTCCTCCCTCAGGGTGTTAACTGTCCCCCAGGCTGTTCCTCACCCCCAGGGGATGTCCCCATGCCCCAAGATGTCCCTTGTCACAAACACTGTTCCCACAGGTCTCTCTTTATTTCCTGCAGCTGGAAACCCAGGAAGGGCCACGGAGGTGCCCCCTTTGCCGGGGTGGGGATCAGGGGTGCCATGGTGCTGCTTCATGTGCCAGGGGTAGTGTGCTGTGGTGGAGTCCCGGAGCTGGAGTGCCAGGGTGGTGACGCACGTCCTGGTGTCACGCTGCCAAGGTGGCGCCACACGTCCCGGCGTCACGGTGCCAAGGCAGTGCCACGTTGGGGTGCCACGGTGGTGCTCTGTGTCCTGGGATGGAGGTGCTGGTGCTGCTGTGCCAGGATTGTGGTCGGAGTGCTGGGGTGGTGTCCCAGGTCTGGGTTTGGGGTGCCAGTGCGGTGCCAGGGTTCATGGGCAGCGACAGTGCCAGGGTTCGGGTGCCACGGCAGTGCCACGGCAACTCCTCATGTCCCGGGCTCACGGTGCCACGCCAGGGCCAGAGCAGTGCCAGGTTTGGGGTGCCATGCCACCCAGGCCCTACTTATTTCCACCACCCAGGTCACAGCGGTAGTAAAGCATCTGAAAGTTCAGCGAGGTGCACAGCAGCGAGGGGTACGAGGTGCCCACCTTGCGGAAGCCCTGCCCCTCGTAGAGCCGCTGCGCCGCTACCTGCACCATGGAGGTGCTGAGCACCACGGCGCCGTACCCGCGGGCACGGGCGAACGCCAGCACCTCCCGGCACAGCGCCCGCGCCAGCCCGTGGCCCCGGTGCTCCCGGCTCACCGACATCCTCTTGAGCTCCAGCTCGCCGCGGCCGGCGGGCACCGCCGCCACCATGGCCGCCACGGTGCCGGCCTCCTCAACCACCCAGAAGCGGCAGTCGGGCGGGCGCAGGTACGTGCCGGGCACGTCGCACAGGTCGGTGCCCAGCGCCTCGCGCACGTAGTCGGCGCAGACCGCGCGAGCCAGCACCCAGAGCAGCACCAGCGCCAGCGCCACCGCGCCCAGCCCCAGCACCCAGGAGCCCGCGGCCGCCCGCGCCGCCACGAACACGGCCAGCAGTGCCAGGCGCACCCGCGCCGCCCGCAGAGCATGACGGAAGCCGGCCGGGGCGTGCTCCATGATGCCGCGGGCAAACAGCGCCCGCACGGCCTCAAAGTCCTGATCCTGGTACTGCCGGATGCGGAACGACGCCATGGGGGCACCTGCGGGGGCACGGAGAGGGGTTAGGGGGTGATATAGGGGGGGTGGGCAGGGGGAGATGGATCTTGGGGCGGTACAGAGGGGTGAGGGCGGTGCCCACCCTCACAGAGACAGACATAGTGTCCTGAGAGCCATCCCTGGAGTGGCACAAGGGGTCAGGGCAGCGCCATGGATGGGGGACCCCTAGACTCATCCCTGGGGTGGCACAAGGGGTCAGGGCAGCGCCAACCTTCACAGGGGCCCTTGGTGTGCCCCCAGACCCATCCCTGGCATGGCACAAGGGTTCAGGGCAGTGCCAACCTTCACAGGGACCCTCGGTGTGCCCCCAGACCCATCCCTGGCGTGGCACACGGCGGTCAGGGCAGTGCCAGTGCCGCTCCCACCTGGGGGTACCCCAAAAACAAAGGGGAAATAGTGTGGGGGTGGCCCTTCCCCTCCCTTGCTGGGCTCTCAGGGGTTCATCCCTCACCCCAGCTGGGCAGAGGCTTTACCTGGCACACCCGGGTGGGCACCACGAGCACTGTGGGGCACAGAGGAAGAGCTGCAGGATCTGGGGGTGCCGCTCCCCTCCCCGGGAGCCCAGCACTCACCGGGAGCCGCGGCACAACCCGGCCTGGGCAAAGTGGGCAGGGCGTGGGCACCGAGCTGTGCCCGGGACAGGGCAAAGGGGCAAAGGGGCAAAGGGGCAAAGGGGCAAAGGGCCTGGGGAGGCACGGGGACAGGAGGAGGCACGGACACAGCAGGGACAGGAGGGGACAGGAGGGGCAGGAGGGGACAGGAGGGGCACGAGGGGACAGGAGGGACAGAAGGGGGACACGGACACAGCCCCTGCACGGGTCTGGGGGTCAGACCCGTGCAGGGCACATCAAGGGGTCCCCAAAGTGCCCCAAACCTTTCTCTCGGGGGGTGCCCGGACCCAACCTCACCCCCCCCCCAAAATCCCTCTGGGCCGCCCCCCCCACCTGCTGCTCCCGGCGCTGCCGCTCCTCACACCGGCACCGGCGGCTCCTCGGGGACAACCGGGTGTGAGAGTCTGTCAGAATTTTCCCTCATCTGCCTCACGATCGTCCTTGGGAGACCACTGAAGAGAAGACCCCCCCGTCTATATCTGGCTCTGAAGGAGAAAAGTCACACACCACGGGCCCTGAGAGCTGAAAGCTCAGTGTTGAGCTATTGTTTACACAAGTGTGTTTGCTGTATGCTAAGAAGAGGGCACCGTGCCCCGTTTGCAACAACAGCAGTTCTGGAAGCTGTCCCAGCTCTCGGCCTGGCTGGACTTCTCCTGAGTTCCAGGTGGTCTCCCACAGGAGACCCTCACCTGTTTTACAACCACCGTGACAGACAGACGGAGATGTGAGAAGATTCTCCATCAAGGACTGAGACATGAAACTCCTAACAGGCCCCTCTGCTCCTTCCAAGGACTGGGACTGAAACCCCCAGCCCGGGGGAGGTGTGTGGGGCAGGCAAGCTGACCGAAGCGAGATGTTTGCCTGCAGGTTGTGACCACTGAACCAAGAAAACAATGGCTCTCATTTACTGCTGAGAACACAGACTACCTGTTACATCCATCAAGCTCATTTACTGCTGAGAACATGCACTATCTGTTACATCTGTTCCCTATTGTATCTGTTCCCCCCCCTCGCAATTTTCAGCAATAAAACCCTCTGAGTTAGCCAGAGCCTTTGAGATCTCCCCAGCGTAGCGGGCGGACCCTCGGCTGGACTGCACCAAAGGACTCCATCTCTGCGTTGGTAGCGATATCCTCTCTCTCTCTCTCTCTCTTTCTCTCTCTTTTTCTCTCCCTTAATCCCTCCATCGCATTTTTGCTGTAGTTATTTCAAAAAAACTGCATTTTTTTGATCATCACTGCAAAAGCCCTTGTACCGTGTTGGTGTTTTGCACTCTGAGATCATTCCTACGAACCATCAGCTCATCTGTCCACTAGGATGGACCCTGACACCGGGGGTCCCTCACGGCCCGAGGGGGGCTCGGTGACCCCCTGAGCACCCCCAGGGGATGTTTGTTTTGGGTGGGGGTCTTTGTTTGGCGCACCCCCGGCCCGGCCTGTGCCTGCGAGCTGCCGGGTGCGTTCAGCCCATCGTTCTGCGCCGCTCAGGGTGGGGGGTCCGGTGGCAGCACGGGGTCGGGGGGGACACCCCCGGTTTGGGCCGTGCCGAGGCCGGCGGAGGCTCCGGTGCGCGGCGAGCGCAGGCGCCGAGCGGGAAGCGCTGCTGCCCCTGCCGATGATGCCGTGAAGAGATCCCGGAAGGTTGTGGGGTCACGGGGAGGGGGATTTGGGGGAGCGCAGGGCACGGGGGGCCCGGGGAGTGGCGGGGGGACACTGCACGGGACCCCTGTCACCCCCAAATCGCGGCGGTGGGGCAGCGATGGGGGAGCGGGGTGGGGGTGCAGCCCCTCGCAGAGTTGGTGTCCCAACTGTGGGGACACCCCAGCCCTGCCCAGGGTCACCCCAGAGGGCTTGGGGGGTCCCCGTGGTGATGCTCGCCCCCCCAGCCCCGAGCTGGAGCCTCCCCGTGGGGTGTCATGGGGGTCCCGGCGGTGTTGGGGACCCCCATGAACGGCTCAGCCCAGCGCTGGGGACAGCCCCGCATTTGGGGAGGGGGACACGGTGGCACCAGGGCCCAGCAGGGCACAGCCCCCCACCCTGCAGGACCGCAGGGGGATTAAGGGGGGGTCACCCCAACCCCTTTTTTGCACCCTACAACCCTCCAGTGCCCCCTCGGCTTTCCATGGGACTCGGGGTGCCCCACGCTGGTGCCCCCCATCTCCTGGGGGCTCAGGGGGTGCTGGCTCTGATGGCGGTGCCCGATCGCCCACCATGACCCCATGGTCACCCAGACCCCACCCCCGACCCTCTCTCGGTGTCCCCAAAGCCGCAACACCCCCCAGTGCCCCCCAGGACCCCCGGACCCTCCCAGTGCACCCATGGTCCGGCACTTCCCGAACCCCACAGCCAGGACACCCCCGGACCCCCACCCTGCAGACCCCCCCAGTGTCACAGCCCTGCCGGACATTGTCCCCAGGGTCCCCAGAGCTCCGCAGACCCCCCCAGGTCCCTGCAGCCCCCAGAGCAGCCCCAGCACTGTGGGGACACCTCCCGCTGCAGGTCCCCATTGTCCCCGCTGCCCAGGGACCCCCTCCGTGTCCCCCAGCCCCGCCCCCTCCGCGCCGCCCATCAATCTCGCATCCTATTGGTCCCCGCCGCCGGCAGCAGCCAATAGGCGCCCAGAGATGAGGGGCAGGGCGGGACAATGGCTCACGAGTGCACCGGGGGCGGGTCCAGGCGATCCAATGGGAGAAGGGGGCGGGGCCGTGTGGAGCGCTCGACAACAGGCAAGGGGCGTGGTTTCCTGGGCGTGGCTTATGGAGAATATACCACGGTAATGGGGTGTTCTTATGAGGGGCGCGGCTCAGAGCGGAGTTTCTATTGGTCAGCACCGAATGGGTGGGGCTTAACAGCGGCGGAGCGACTGAAGGGCCAGGGAATGCGCGTGGCCTGGTGAGGGGCGTGGCCTGGCCGAGTTCCTACGGCAGGGTCCGGGGCAGAAACGAGCCCCGGTCCCTGTCCCTTTCCGGGTCCCGTTCCCGTTCCTATTCCCGGTCCTTTTCTAGGTCTCGGTCCCATTCCCATTCCCGTTCCCGTTCCCATTCCCGGTCTTGTTCCCGGTCCCGTTCCCGTCCCCATTCCCATTCCCGGTCCCGTTCCCGGTCCTATTCCTATTCCATTCCCATTCCCATTCCCGTTCCCGTTTCCGTTCCCGTTCCCATTCCCGGTCTCTCCGCCGCTCCAGCCCCGCACACTCGCAGCCGCAGCGCACCCAAACTTTACTGGATTCGTCCCGCCCGTCCCCCCGTGCCCCCCGGCCGATCCCGCGGCCCCGGGGCCGCCCCGCTCACTGCCCGCGGCCGTGGGCGCGCAGGCGGCGGAGCCGCAGCCGCTGCAGCCGCAGCGCCGGGTCCGGGCCCGGCCGGGGCCTCCCGGGCCGGTGGCGGCCCCGCGCCCGCGCCAGGCGGAAGCTGCACGGGGTGGGAACGTTCTCGAAGTAGACCCGGCACGGCTGCGTGGCCGCCTCGTAGCCCTCGGCCCGCGCCGTCACCTCGTACTCGCCCGGGTTCAGCAGCCGCCAGTAGTCCCCGTCCGAGGCTGCGGGGGTGGGGTCACACTGCTGTCCCCACCCTGTCCTTGTCCCCAGTCCTGTTCCTGTCCTTGTCCCCAGCCCCAGTCCTGTTCCTGTCCTTGTCCCCAGACCCAGCCCCGTTCCTGTCCCATCTCCATCCCTAATTCCCAGCCCCAGCCCCGTTCCTGTCCTTGTCCCCAGCCCCAGTCCCGTTCTTGTCCCATCCCGAATTCCCATCCCTGTCCCGATCCCATCCCCATTCCCAACCTAATCCTGCTTCCTTTGCCATCTGCAATCCCCAATCCCACTCCCCTTCCATCCCTGTCCCCAGCCCCATCCCATTCCTGTCCCCATCCCCTTTCCCAGCCCTATTTCCATCTCCACCTGCAATTCCCAATTCCACCCCCAAATCCCATCCCATTCCTTTCCCTGTCCCAGCCCCGTCCCATTCACATCCCCAATGCCATCTCCATGCCTGTCCCATCCCCATTTCCAACCTCATCCCATTACTCTCCCCATCCCAATCCCATTCCTGTCCCCATCCCCTCCCCTTTCCCAGCCCCATCCTATTTCCATCCCCATCTGCAATTCCCAATCCCAAATCCCATCCCATTCCTTTCCCTGTCCCCGTCCCCATTCCCATCCTCATCCCCATCCCGTTCCCATCCCGTCCCTGTCCTTATCCCACCCTCATTCCCAGCCGGATCCCGATCCCGTTCCCGCCCCAAACCCCGCCCCTCCGTGTCCCGGTGTCCCGGTACCGGTGTCCCCCCAAACCCCGCCCCTCCGTGTCCCGGTGTCCCCCCAAACCCCGCCCCTCCCTGTCCCGGTGTCCCGGTACCCGTGCGGACGTCGTGGTTGATGCCATCCACAGAGATGATGGCGTTGGGGATGCCCAGCTCGGTGTCACTGTCCCGGACCACGCCCTTGATCCCCCGGTGCACCTGCAGGGCGTGGCACAGGTGGCACGGGTGTGTCCCCCGCTCCCGGTGCCACCTCAGCGTTTGGGGACAGCCACGTCCCGCTGCCATCCCGCTGAGCCCCCACCCTGCCGTGCCCATGGCCACCCTGCAATGTCCCCAGCGTGTCACCTCCATCCCCAAAGCCTTTCAGAGACCCCTGGGGGTTCCCTGGCCCTGCCCTGCCCATGACACAGTGTCCCCATTGTCCCAGCTCCCTCCAGACCCCACCCAGTGTCCCCATTGTCCCCAGATCCCACCCAGTGTCCCCATTGTCCCAGATACCCCCACATCCCAGCCAGTGTCCCCATTTTCTCCAAATCCCATCCATTGTCCCCACATCCCACCCAGTGTCCCCAAATCCCACCCAGAGTCCCCATTGTCCCCAGATTCCACCCAGTGTCCCCATTGCCCCAGCAACCCCAGACCCTCCACTCGAGACCCCTCCCCAGTGTCCCCATGATCCCAGAACCACCTGGATCCCCCCAGTGTCCCCATACCCCAAACCCCCCAAATCCCCCATCCTGTACCCCACTTCCCCATATTCCCATGGTCTCAGCACCCCCAGACCCCCTCAGTGTCCCCATGTCCCAAAACCCCCAAAATCCTCCATCCTGGATGCCCCAGTGTCCCCCTTGTCCCAGCACCCTCAGATCCCCTCAATGTCCCCATGCCCCAAATCCCTCAAATCCCCCATCCTGGACCCTCCTTCCCCAGGATCCCCCTGGTCCCAGGACCCCAGACCCCCTCAGTGTCCCCATGTCCCAAAACCCCCCAAACCCCCACTCTGGACTCCCAGAGTGTCCCCACGATCCCAGAACCACCTGGATCCCCTCAGTGCCCCCATGTCCCAATCCCCCATCCTGAACTGCCCTTTCCCAGTATCCCCATGATCCCAGAACCACCTGGATCCCCTCAGTGTCCCCATGTCCCAAATCCCCCACAAATCCCCCATCCTGGACCCCTCCTCCCCACTGCCCCCCTCATCCCAATAGCCCCAGGACCCCCCCAGTGTCCCCATGTCCCAAAGCCCTCTAATCCCCCATCTTGGACTCCCCCTTCCCCAGTGTCCCACTGGTCCCAGGACCCCAGACCCCCTCAGTGTCCCCATGTCCCAAAACCCCCCAAATCCTCCATCCTGGATCCCCCAGTGTCCCCACGATCCCAGAACCACCTCGATCCCCTCGGTGTCCCCAAGTCCCAAATCCCTCCAAATCCCCCATCCTGGACCCCTCTTCCCCACTGCCCCTCTCATCCCAGCACCCCCAGAGCCCCCCAGTGTCCCCATGTCCCAAATCCCACCAGATCCCCCATCCTGAATCCCCCTTCCCCAGTGTCCCCATGGTCCCAGCACCCCTAGACCCCTCCAGTGTCCCCATGTCCCAAACCCCCCCAAATCCCCCACCCTTCCCCCACTGCCCCCCCATCCCAGCACCCCATTCCCCCCCATTCCCATCCCACTCCATCCCCTCCGCACAGACAGACCTCGAGCTGTGTCCCCAAGCCCCGGGTGGTGCCACCCCCGGTGCCACCCGGTGCCAGCCCGTGCCCCACCTGCTCCATGAAGAGCAGCAGCGACTCGCGGTTGTTCTCCCACTCGGCGGGCAGCTCCGAGGCGTGCGGGAATTTGTCGCAGGAGAGCTCCACGGTGATCTCGAAGCAGTTGGTGTGCAGGTAGCTGAAGTCGTTCATGCCTGGGGGCACAGCGAGGGTGGCAGCAGGGGACAAAGGGACAGAAAAATCCCGGAGTGACAGGAAAATTCCAGAAATTCCCTGGATACTGAGAGTTTCAGACTTTCTGTGCTGGCAGCACTGACCCCCAGGAGAACACTGCATTTAACCTGAGGGCATAGAGAAAGCTTCCAAAATTAAATAATAGAACTAAAATTATGAATGTGCAGCTGGATTAGAAATGTGTAATATCACAGGGTGGAAACCTTGCAATTTAAAGGTTTAAAATATAATAATATCTCTAAAGCAAAATAAAAGTTTTAGGGCAGAGGTTGGTCCTGTCCTTCATCACCTTCTTCTCCATGGGTTTGGGTGGTTTGGTGTAAGTGGTTAAAAAAATCCACATTGCAAGTCACAGGTAATTAATTTAATTAATAATTAAATTAATTATTTAAAAATAAAAATAATTTAGGTGTCATTTCTTAATTGGATACTTTAGCCTTAAAAAGCCTTGTAGAGAGTGAGATGGGGCTCCACTTTCAGCTTGTTAGAGTAAATTACTGTAAAATTCATGGTTTGTGAGACTGTAATGTAGGTAAGAACTGATTAATATGTGAGTCCAAATGAGAAATACCATATTTCTAAAAGAAACAAAAAACCCAAAAATAACCAAAAAAAAGAAACAAAAAAATAAGCAAAAAATAACCAACCACCCCCCAAAAAATTAGCAAAAAAAACAAAAACAAAAAACAAAAAACAAAAAAAGAAACAAAAGAGAAACAAAAAAGAAACCAAAAATCCACGTGTCCCTATTCACTGCCACCCACCGTGTGCCACTTGAGCTGTGTCCCTACTCCCTGCCATGTGCCACCTGAGCTCAGTGTCCCTACTCACAGCCACCATCTCAGAATGTCCCTGCTCACTGCCACTGTGTGACACCTGAGCTCATGGAGTGTCCCACTCAGTGCCACTGCCATGTGCCACCTGAGCTCAGTGTCCCGCTCACTGCCACCATCTAAAAGTGTCCCCACTCACTGTCAGCCACCGTGTGCCCCCTGATCTCACAGCGTGTCCCCACTCACTGCCACCCCCCGTGTGCCCCCTGAGCTCATGGAGTGTCCCCACTCACTGCCATGTGCCCCCTGAGCTCACGGCACGTCCCACTCACTGCCAGCCACTGTGTGCTACCTGAGCCCAGTGTCCCCACTCACTGCCACCATCTCAGAGTGTCCCTACTCACTGCCACCCACCATGTGCCCCCTGGTCTCACAGCGTGTCCCACTCACTGCCAGCCACCGTGTGCCCCCTGGTCTCATGGCATGTCCCCACTCACTGCCACGTGCCCCCTGGTCTCAGGGACTGTCCCCACTCACTGCCACGTGCCCCCTGGTCTCAGGGACTGTCCCCACTCACTGCCAGCCACGGTGTGCCAGTGGGCGCCGTTGATGATGTTGCCGTAGCGCGTGAAGTCGTCGTGGTGGCAGGGGCGGCGCTCGGCGCTGGCCATGGCGGGGTTGGCGGTGGCGTAGACGGTGGCCAGCCAGCGGAAGACGCCGTCGTCGGGGGTGGGGGTGAGCTCCTGCGCCTTCCAGTAGGTGCGGCTCATGTCGAAGGGGTAGGTGACCACCAGCTCCCCCCCGTGCAGGTTGGCGCTCAGCACGAACGGGTAGCGCTGCATCCACGCGATCACCGCGCGCGTCTCCGGGGCCACCTGCGCGGTGACACCGCTGTCACCTGTGCCACTGGGGCCGTGTGCGCGGTGACACTGCTGTCATCTGTGCCACTGGGGCCGTGTGCGTGGTGACACCGCTGTCACCTGTGCCACTGGGGCCGTGTGCATGGTGACACTGCTGTCACCTGTGCCACCGGGGCCATGTGCGTGGTGACACCGCTGTCACCCGCACCACCGGGGCCATGTGCATGGTGACACCGCTGTCACCCGCACCACCAGGGCCATGTATGCAGTGACATTGCTGTCACCCGCACCACTGGGGCCATGTGTGCAGTGACACTGCTGTCACCTGTGCCACTGGGGCCATGTGTGCAGTGACACCGCTGTCACCCACACCACCGGGGCCATGTGCGCAGTGACACCGCTGTCACCTGTGCCACTGGGGCCGTGTGCGCGGTGACACCGCTGTCACCTGTGCCACTGGGGCCGTGTGCGTGGTCACACTGCTGTCACCCGCACCACCGGGGCCATGTGTGCAGTGACACCGCTGTCACCTGTGCCACTGGGGCCATGTGCGTGGTGACACCGCTGTCACCCACACCACCAGGACCATGTATGCGGTGACACTGCTGTCACCCGCACCACCGGGGCCATGTGTGCAGTGACACCGCTGTCACCCGCACCACCGGGGCCATGTGCGCAGTGACACTGCTGTCACCTGTGCCACTGGGGCCGTGTGCGTGGTGACACTGCTGTCACCTGTGCCACTGGGGCCATGTGCGCAGTGACACTGCTGTCACCTGTGCCACTGGGGCCGTGTGCGTGGTGACACTGCTGTCACCCGCACCAATGGGGCCATGTGCGTGGTGACGCTGCCGTCGCCCACACCATCGGGGCCATGTGCGCAGTGGCATTGCTGACACCTGCGCCACCGGGGCCATGTGCGTGGTGACACTGCTGTCACCCGCGTCTCTGGGGCCGCCCATGTGGTGACACCACTGTCATCCACACCACCAGGTTCTGTGTGCGGTGGCACCACTGTCACCCGTGTCTCTGGGGCCGCCCATGCAGTGACATCACCCTCACCCAGATCTCTGGGGCCATGTGTGCGGTGACACTGCCATCACCCGCGTCTCTGGGGCTGCCCGTGCAGTGACGACACTGTCACCCACATCTGTGGGGCCATGTGTGTGGTGGCACTGCTGTCACCCACATCTCTGGGGCCACATGCGCAGTGGCACTGCCACCACCCATGTCTCTGGGGCTGCCTGCACAGTGGCACCGCCATCACCTGCATCTCTGAGGCCATCTGTGCAGTGACACCGCTGTCACCCACAGCTCCAGGGCCACCCACGCAATGACACTGCCGTCACCCGCAACTCCAGGGCCACCTGCACGGTGGCACCACCATCACCCGTGTCTCTGTGCACCTGCACAATGACACCACAGTCACCTGTGTCTCTTGGGGCCATGTGTGCGGTGACACCGCTGTCACCCACATCACCGGGGCTGCCTGAGCGGTGGCACCACTGCCATCCGTGTCTCTGTGTGTGCTGGGGTCATGTGTATGGTGACACCTCTGTCACCCGCATCTCCAGGGCCACCTGCACGGTGACAACTCCTGTCACCACGTCTCCGGAACCATCCGTGCGGTGACACCGCTGTCACCTGCATCTCTGGGGCCATGTGCGCGGTGACACCTCTGTCACCAGGGCTGCCTGTATGGTGACACTGCCATCACCCGCATCTCCAGAGCTGCCTGTGCGGTGACACCACTGTCACCCGCACCCCTGGGGCCACCCACGTGGTGACACTGCTGTCACCCGTGCCTCGTGGTGGTGGTGGCCTTGTCCTTGTGGCTTCTGGTGACGCCCTGGGTTGGGCGGGTTCAGCCCCAGTGCAGCCCCTGTGGGTGGGCAGCACCCGCCCCGCTGGACTGGGAGGGGTTTGGGGGTTTCTGAGGGGTTTCAGGGGGGTTTCAGGGGCACTTTGGGCCATTTTGGGGTCTCACCCCAATGTGACAGGATGGGGGTTTTGCGGTCTCTCCCTGATGTGAAGGGATGGGGGTTTTGGGGTGTCACCCCAATGTGACAGGATGGGGGTTTTGGGGTGTCACCCCGATGTGACAGGATGGGGGTTTTGGAGTCTCTCCCTGATGTGAAGGGATGGGGGTTTCGGGGTCTCACACTGGTAGAATGGGGGTTTTGGGGTCTCACCCCAATGTGATAGGATGGGGGTTTTAGGGTCTCACCACAGCGCCACCCCAGGAGGATGGGGGCATTTTGGGGTCTCACACTGATAGGATGCGGGTTTTGGGGTCTCACCAGGGCGCCACCCCAGCGGGATAGGGGTTTTGGGGTCTCACACTGATAGGACGGGGGTGTTTTGGGGTCTCAAACTGACAGGGTGAGGGTTTTGGGGGTCTCACCCCGATGTGACAGGATGGGGGTTTTGGGCTCTCACCGTGGCATCCCCCCAGCAGGACAGGGATGTTTTGGGGTCTCACACTGATAGGATGGGGATGTTTTGGGGTCTCACACTGATAGGATGGGGAAGTTTTGGGGTCTCACCATGGCACCACCCCAGCAGGATGGGATGTTTTGGGGTCTCACACTGATAGGGTGGGGATGTTTTGGGGTCTCACACTGGTAGGATGGGGAAGTTTTGGGGTCTCACCATGGCACCACCCCAGCAGGATGGGATGTTTTGGGGTCTCACGCTGGTAGGGTGGGGATGTTTTGGGGTCTCACCGTGGCGTTGGCGAAGGTGTAGTACTCGGGGATGGGGATGTAGTGGTTGGGGAACTCGTGGGGCACCAGGTCGTTGTCCTCGGCGTCCCACAGCGCCGTGTTCAGGTCGGCAAAGTTGTGGTTGAGGTCGATGCCCTCGTACGTCCAGCGGCCCATGGCCCATCCCGCCAGCTCCGAGCCCTGCCGGGCACCGCGGGCACCGGGGTCACCGGGAGGGGCATCGGGATGGGCACTGGGATGGGCATTGGTATCACCGGGAGGGGCACTGGGATCACCGGGATGGGCACCGGGATGGGTGCTAGGATCACTGGGATGGGCACTGGGGTCACCAGGATGGGCACTGGGATGGGCATCGCAGGCACCAGGGTCAGCGGGAAAGGCACTGGGATCACTGGGATGGGCACCGGGATCACCGGGATGGGCACCACAGGCACCGGGATGGGCACTGGAATCACTGGGATGGGCACTGGGATGGACACTGGGTGGCACTGAGATGGACACCCTGGGCACCAGGATCACCGAGATGGGCACTTGGGGTCACTGGGATGGGTACTGGGATGGGCACCGGGATGGACACCAGGATCACAAGGATGGGCACCACGGTCACTGGGGTGGGCACTGGATCACAGGGGTGGGCACAGGGGTCAGTGGGATCCCTGTGATGGGCACAGCAGTCAGCAGGATGGCCACCAGGATGGGCACTGGGATGGGCATCATGGTCACTGGGATGGACATCGATGGACACTGGGATGGGCACCAGGATCACCAGGATGGGCACGAGAATGGGCACCAGGATGGGCACCAGGGTCACTGGGATGGGCACAGCAGTCACTGGGATGGGCACTGGGATGGGCACCGGGATGACCAGGATGGTCACTGGGATGGTGACCAGGGTGGAACCTGTGGTCATCTGGATGAGCACTGGGATCCCCGGGATGGGCACCGGGATGGGCACCGTGGTCACTGGGATAGATACTGGCAGATAGATGGGCACCAGGACCACTGGGATCCTCTGGATGGGCATCAGGACACCAGGATGGGCACTGCAGTCACTGGGATGGACACTGGGATGGGCACCAAAATGGACACTGGGATCATGGGGATGGACACCGGGATGGGCACTGGGATGGGCACTGGGATGGGCACCGTGGTCACTGGGATAGATACTGGGATGGGCACCGGGATCACTGGGATCCTCTGGATGGGCACTAGGACACCAGGATGGGCACCGGGATCCCCAGGGTGGGCACTGCGGTCTCTGGGATGGGCACCAGGATCACCAGGATGGGCACGAGAATGGGCACCAGGATGGGCACCAGGGTCACTGGGATGGGCACTGGGATAGGCACCGGAATGGACACTGGGATCATGGGGATGGACACTGGGATGGGCACTGGGATCATGGGGATGGACACCAGGATGGGCACTGGGATCATGGGGATGGACACCGGGATGGGCACTGGGATGGGCACTGGGATCATGGGGATGGACACTGGGATGGGCACTGGGATGGGCACTGGGGTCATGGGGATGGACACCGGGATGGGCACTGGGATGGGCACTGGGGTCATGGGGATGGACACCGGGATGGGCACCGGGATGGGCACTGGGACGGGTGCCGGGATCACTGGGGTTCCTGGGATGGCACGGTTACGGGCAGGGGCCGTGTGTGCCAGCCGTACCAGCCTGTAGGCGGTCTCGTAGCCGTCGGGGTTCATGGAGGGCAGCAGGTGGATGCGCGTGCCCGTCACCAGCCGCACCACGCGGGCGTCGCCGCGGCGGAACTCGCGGCACAGGAACTGCATCAGGTTCAGCAGCAGCTCCCGGCCCAGCACCTCGTTCCCGTGCATGCCGGCCACGTAGCGGAACTCGGGCTCGCCTGGGGGCCACCGGGTGCCGCACTGTCCCCGTGTCCCTGTGCCGCCCTGGCCACTGTCCCCGTGTCCCTGTGCCACCCTGGCCACTGTCCCTGTGCCACCCTGGCCACTGTTCCTGTGTCCCTGTGCCACCCTGGCCACTGTCCCCGTGTCCCTGTGCCACCCTGGCCACTGTCCCTGCGCCGCCCTGGCCACTGTTCCTGTGTCCCTGTGTCACCCTGGTCACTGTCCCTGTGTCCCTGCACCGTCCTGGCCACTGTCCCTGTGCCACCCTGGTCACTGTTCCCGTGTCCCTGTGCCACCCTGGCCACTGTCCCTGTGCCACCCTGGCCACTGTCCCCGTGTCCCTGCAGCACCCTGGTCACTGTCCCCGTGTCCCTGGTCACTGTCCCCGTGTCCCTGTGCCACCCTGGCCACTGTCCCCGTGTCCCTGCACCGCCCTGCGTGGCCCTGGTCACTGTCCCCATGTCCCTCCACCAGTCTGGGTGTCCCTGTCCCCATGTCCCTGCACCATCCTGGGTATCCTCATCCCATGTCCCTGCATCAGTCTCGGTGTCCTTGTCCCTGTGCTGGACCAGTCTGGGTGTCCCTCGTCATTGTCCCCATGTCCCTGCACCATCCTGGGTGTCCTTGTCCCCATCCTGGACTACCCTGGGTGTCCCCGTGTCCCTGCAGCACCCTGGCTGGCCCTGGTCACTGTCCCCATGTCTCTCCACCAGTCTGGGTGTCCTTGTCCCCATCCTGGACCAGTTAGGGTGTCCCTGGTCACTGTCCCCATGTGTCTCCACCAGTCTGGGTGTCCCTGTGTCCCTATCTCAATCCTGGGTGTCCCTGGTCACCCCTGTCCTCATGTCCCTGCACCACCCTGCGTGTTCCTGGTCACTGTCCCCATGTCCCTGCACCAGTCTGGGTGTCCCTGTCCCCATCCTGAGCATCCCTGGGTGTCCCCGTACCCATCCCCATCCTGGGTGTGCCTGTTCCCATGTCCCTCCACCAGTCTGGGTGTCCTTGTCCCCACACTGGACCAGTCTGGATGTCCCTGTGTCCCTGTCTCCATCCTGGGTGTTCCTGGTCACCCTGTCCCCATCCATCTGCACCACCCTGGGTGTCCCTGGTCACTGTCCCCATGTCCCTGCACCAAGCTGGGTGTCCCTGTCTCTGTCCTGAGCATCCCTGGGTGTCCCTGTGTCCCTGTCCCTATCCTGGGTGTCCCTCTCCCTGTCCTTCACCAGGCTGGGTGTCCCCATCCCCATCCTGAGCATCCCTGGTCACCCTGTCCCCATCCTCGTGCTCCACATTGGACATCCCTGGTGACTGTCCCCGTCACCCTGCACCAGTCTTCGTGTCCCTGTGTCCCCATCCCCATCCTGGGTGTCCCCAGCCACCCTGTCCCCCCGTCCTTCACAGGTCTGGGTGTCTCTGGTGACCCCAACTCCATCCTGGACATCCCATGCCAAGCTGGGTGGCCCAGTCACCCCATTCTGAGCCAGCCCTGGTGACTGTCCCCACCCTCCCTGTACCAGCCCTGGTGACTGTCCCCACCCCCTGTACCAGCCCTGGTGACTGTCCCCACCCCCCTGCACCTGCCCTGGTGACAGTCCCCACCCTCCAGCACCAGCCCTGGTGACTGTCCCCACCCTCCAGCACCAGCCCGGCCATCCCCGACGCCCCCTCCTCATCCTGGGCACCCCCAGTCGCCCCATCCCCAGCTGGGCATCCCTGGCCGCTGTCCCCAGGCCCATGGTGTCCCACCCCGGCTGTCCCCAGCTGTCCCCGGCTGTCCCCTCGGCACGCACCCACTTCGTGCTGCCCGGGGTTGTCCGAGATCTCCATCACGTAGAGGCGCAGCCCGCGGGAGCTCTGCCCGATGCTGTACACGCGGGTGATGTCGGGGCACTCCTCGCTCACCCTCTTCATCAGCTGCGGGGGTGGCACCGTCAGGGACACCCCGAGGTGGCACAGCCCCCCCGGCCCCGCTTGGGGACACGGAGCCACCCCGGGGCTCGCGGGGAGGGTGGCACCTTTCTCATCTCCTTGTAGTTGTGGTGGCGGAAATCCAGCTGCGGCTCGGGCGGGGCCGGGGGGTGCCAGGCGTGGGCATCGCTGGGGTCTGCGGGGACACCGAGGGGACACCGGGGGGACACCGGGGGGACACGGTCAGGGACAGCGAGCAGCCCAGACCGCCGCTCTGGTGACACCGCCGGGCGCTACCGGGGCGGCGTGTGGGGACCTGGGGGACGCCAGCGACGCCCACAGGGGACAGCCAGGGGGACACCAGCGGGACAGGGGACAGCCAGCGGGTGCCTACGGGGCATGGAGACAGCCAGAGGGTCACTGCGGGACAGGGGACAGCCCGCGGGTCCCCGAGGGACAGGGGACAGCCAGAGGGTGGGCAGGGGACAACCAGCGGGTGCCTACGGGGCATGGAGACAGCCAGAGGGTCACTGCGGGACAGGGGACAGCCCGCGGGTCCCCGAGGGACAGGGGACAGCCAGAGGGTGGGCAGGGGACAACCAGCGGGTGCCTACGGGGCAGGGGACACCAGCGGGTCACTGTGGGGCAGGGGCCAGCCAGAGGGTCACTGTGGGGCAGGGGACAGCCAGCGGGTCCCCACAGGGCAAGGGACAGCCAGAGACACGCACCGGGCAGGGGACAGCTGGGGGGACACCAGCAGGTCACTGCGGGGCAGGGGACAGCCCCGGGGGGCAGGGGACAGGCGGGGGGGGACACGCACCGGGCAGGGGACAGCCCCGGGGGGCAGGGGACAGGCGGGGGGGACACGCACCGGGCAGGGGACAGCCCCGGGGGGCAGGGGACAGGCGGGGGGACACGCACCGGGCAGGGGACAGCCCCGGGGGGCAGGGGACAGGCGGGGGGACACGCACCGGGCAGGGGACAGCCCAGCACCTCGGCGCGCAGGCAGACGGTGCCGTTGCGGAACCAGCTCTGCGGGTTGATGCGCAGGAAGCGCCCCACGAGCGGCGAGGGCAGCAGGTTCAGCACCGGCGTCTCGGGGTCCTTGTTGGCCGGGAACACCTGCGGGGACAGGAGGGGACAGGAGGGGACAGGAGGGGACAGCAGGGTCAGGGAGAGCCGCCCGCGGGGCTCCAGGGGTGCCCGGTGCCCTCCAGCACGGCCAGGGCAGAGCCCGGGTGGGGCTGCGGGCGCCGCTCGGAGCCCAAGGGCAGCAGGGATGGGCACAGGGAGCCCCAAATCTGTTCCTGGCAGGGGTCAGGCAGGGGGACCCCAAAATCCACCCCTGGAATAGAGATCCCCAAACCTGATGCTGGTACACCTGGGTACACTCCTGACATGGCGACCCCCAAATCCACCCCCAGCACAGGAACCTCAAACCCACCCTGTGCCAGAGATCCCCAAATCCATCCATGGTACAGAGACCCCAAACCCACCCCTGGCACAGGGACCCCAAACCCACTCCGGCACAGGCACCCCAAAATTCACCCTCAGCAACAGGGACCCCAAACCCACCTCGTCCCAGGGATCCCAAACCCACCCCCAGCACAGGACCCCCCAAATCCACCCCTGGCACGTGCCCCCAATCCACTCCTGTCTCTGGGACCCCAAAATCCACCCTCAGCACAGGGACCCCAAATCCATGCCTGGCATAGAGACCCCCAAATCCACCTCAGGTACAGGGACCCCAAACACGGCTCTGGCACAGGATCCTCAAACCCAGCTCTGGCACAGGGACCCCAAACCCAGCTCTGGCACAGGGACCCCAAACCCAGCCCTGGCACAGAGACCCCCAAACCCAGCTCTGGCACAGGATCCTCAAACCCAGCCCTGGCACAGAGACCCCCAAACCCAGCTCTGGCACAGGGACCCCAAACCCAGCCCTGGCACAGAGACCCCCAAACCCAGCTCTGGCACAGGGACCCCAAACACGGCTCTGGCACAGGATCCTCAAACCTAGCCCTGGCACAGGGACCCTAACCCCTCCCCAGCTCCAGGCTGCCGTGCTGTGCCCGGTGCCACGCCACCCCCACGCGTGTCCCCGTGTCCCCACGGCCGTGCCAGGGGGGCTGGCAGGTGCCCAGGCAGGACAAGCAGCCTTTGTGCTGGGGGGAAATGCTGCAGGGCGCCCGGCAGGGCCAGGCCAAGGGCAACAGAGCCCGGGCACGGAGCCAGCTGGCACGGGCACCCCGGGATGGGCACCCCGGGATGGGCACCCTGGGATGGGCACCGCGGGATGGGCACCCTGGGATGGGCACCCTGGGATGGGCACTCCGGGATGGGCACCCTGGGATGGGCACCGCGGGATGGGCACCCCGGGATGGGCACCCCGGGATGGGCACTTCGGGATGGGCACCCCGGGATGGGCACCCCGGGATGGGCACTTTGGGATGGGCACCCTGGGATGGGCACCCCGGGATGGGCACCCTGGGATGGGCACTCCGGGATGGGCACCCCGGGATGGGCACCCCGGGATGGGCACTCCTCCCTGGGGTGGTTAACCCTCCTCGGTGTGGTTAACCCAGCGTGGTTAACGCCCTGCCCAGTGTGGTTATCCCACCTGCCATGGTTAACCCTGGCATGGTTAACCTCCAGTATAATTAACCCTGGCCTAATTAACCCTCCTGGCAGAGTTATCTCACCTGGTTAACCTCCAGTATAATTAACCCTGGCCTAATTAACTCTCCTGGCATTGTTACCCCCCTGGCACGGTTAACTCTTGGAATGGTTAATCCACCTGGCAAATTAACCCAAGTATGATTAACCCTGGCCTGACTAAACCCCCTGGCATCATTGCCCACCTGGCACAGTTAACTCACCACAATTAACACCAGTATAATTAACCCTGGCCTAATTAACCCCACCCTGGCATCATTGCCCACCTGGCACGGTTAACTCACCACAATTAACACCAGTATAATTAACCCTGGCCTAATTAACCCCCCTGGCATGGTTATCCCACCTGGCATGGTTAACCTCACCACAATTAACCCCAGTATAATTAACCCTGGCCTAATTAACCCCACCCTGGCATCATTACCCACCCTGGCACAATTAACCCCAGAGCATCATCAACCTCCCCACCATGCTTAACCCCCTCACCATCATAACCTCCCAGGTGATTCCTGCCCCCCAGCCCTGTCACCTCCCCATGTCCCCGCCCTGTCTGGGGATGCCACCCCCGATGCCACCCCCGATGCCACCCCGATGCCACCCCGGTGCCACCCCGGTGCCACTCACCGCCTCCTCGGTGCCGTTGCGGCTCGGCAGCCACGCGTGCGAGTCGTTGCTGACCTGCACCTTGTAGGACGTCACCCAGTCGTACCTGCGGGGCACGGGGGGGGTCAGGGGGTCCCCCGCGCCGTCCCCCCCTTGTCCCCGTTGTCCCCTTACGTCCAGATGGAGTTGAGGCCCTGGGTGATGACCCCGGTGAAGCGCGTGAGGCGCCGCGCGTCCACCTCCAGCCACTGCCGCGTGTCCTCGCGCCCCGCGCACCAGCCGCCGTCAAAGAAGTCACCGTCGTAGAGCCCTGACTGTGGGGACAGCAGGGGACACGCACAGGGACAGGGCCCCACCGCCCGCCGTGTCCCCGAGCCCGGGGTGGCACCGGGGTGGTGGCACCGAGATCAATGGGAGCCACACGGGAGGGAGGGGGCAGAGCTGGGGAGCGCCTGGGACACTCGCGGGCCGTGAAGATGGCACAAACTCGCCACAAAATGTCACAGACATGCCACGAAGATGCCACAAACTCGCCACAAAATGTCACAAACACATCATGAAGATGCCACAAACTCGCCACGAACGGGCCACACCTCCTCTGTGTTTGTCATGCACTTGCCATACCTGCATGCCTCGTGTGACATCCAAACGTCCCTCCAGCCTGGCACAGCCTGGCACAGCCTGGCACACTCTGGCACACTCCCAGCACACTCTGGCCCACTCCTGGCACCCCCTGGCACACTCCTGGCACACCCTGACCCACCCTGGCACACCCCTAGCATGCTCCTGACCCACTCCTGGCACACCCTGACCCACTCCTGGCCCACTCCTGGCACCCCTTGGCCCACTCCTGGCACCCCCTAACCCACCCTGGCACACCCTGGCACCCCCTGGCATGTTCCCGGCCCACCCGGCAGTACCTGGATGTTGAGGCGGCCGCGGTGCGCGCCCAGCCCGTGCCGCTTGTGGCTCGATGCCCGGAGCTGCTCGTCCAGCACCCGCAGGGACTCCAGCCCCAGGGGGGGACACGCTGGGGACACAGCGGGGACAGCGCTCACACCGCAACCCCCGAATGGCCGGGGCCATCCCCACCCTGTGTCGCCACCGAGCTGTGCCATGGGGACCGTGCCAGCCGGGGCTCGACACCCCAACCCCCAGGTGCCCCCAGGTGTCCCCAGGACACGGCCAGCCCCGTGCGCAGGTGACAATGCCCGGGCCACCCGCACCCAGCGCACGTACGGGGCTCCTGCGGCGCGGCCGGAGCCTCCGGCTTCTTCCTCAGCACCTTCTTCTTCACCACCTTCTTCCTCACCACCTTCCTCCTCCTCACCGCCACCTTGCTCACCGTGGGCGCGGGGGCTGCGAGGGGACACGGGAACAGCCTGGCGCCCCGTTTTCCCCCACGAACCCCCTTTGCACACCCCGTCCTTCACACCCCGTCCCCTCGCAGCGCCCCCGTCCCCTCCCGGTCCTACCGGTGCCCGCGGGGTCCCCGGGGCTGGCGGGGGTCGCGCTGCCCTTCGGGGGTCCCGTCGTGGTGCTGCTCCTCGAGGGGGCGGCCGTGGTGCCCTTCGGAGGGGGCGCCGCGCTGGCTTTGGGGGGTCCGGTCGTGGGGCCCTTTCTGGGGGACACCCCGCTGGCGGCGCTCTTGGTTGGGGTGACCCCGGCGGCTTTGGGGGTCCCGCTGGCGGCGCTCTTGGTTGGGGTGACCCCGGCGGCTTTGGGGGACACCCCGCTGGCGGTGCCCTTGGTTGGGGTGACCCCGGCGGCTTTGGGGGACACCCCGCTGGCGGTGCCCTTGGTTGGGGTGACCCCGGCGGCTTTGGGGGACACCCCGCTGGCGGTGCTCTTAGTTGGGGTGACCCCGGTGGCTCTGGGGGTCCCGCTGGCGGTGCCCTTGGTTGGGGTGACCCCGGTGGCTCTGGGGGTCCCGCTGGCCGTGCCCGCCCCGGTGCCGCGGGGCCGGCCGGGCTGGGGGGGCGCGGCGCGGGCGGGGGGCGCCGGGGGGCCCAGCAGCAGCAGCAGCAGCAGCAGCAGCAGCGGGGCGAGGGGCGATCCCCGCATGGCCGCGGCCCTGCCGGTCCCTGCCCGCTCCTGCCGGTCCCTGCCCGCTCCTGCCGGTCCCTGCCCCGCTCCTGGGCCCGGTCCCGGCCCCTCCCCGACCCCCGCCCGCTTCCTGCCCCGGACCCCCGCCCTCCTCCTGCCCGCCCCTCCCGGGACCCCCGGCCGTGCCCTGCCCGCCCCGCCCCGTTCACCGGCCCCGTTCCGCTCTCCCTGTTACCGGACCCCTCGAACGGGAGACAGCGGGTCCCGCCCGCTCACCGGCGGGTCCTGTCCTGTGTCCCTGCCGTGTCCCCACCGTGTCCCCGCTGTCCCATCACCGTGTCCCGCTGTGCCCTCACTGCATCCCCGCTGTCCCGCAGTGTCCCCAGTGTCCCCAGTGTCCCATCGCCGGCCGGGGAGTGGCCCGGGGGTCCGCGGGGGCTCCTCCCGCCGCAGCGGCGGCGTCGCCGGCCGAGCCCGGGGACCCGGCAGGTCCCGGAGCCGCCGGTGCGGGCGGAGCGGGGCCGAACCCGGCGGCCAGGGGCGGTCCCCGGCCCCGGCCCCGGCCCCGACCCCTCGGGGGTGCCCCGGGTGGGACTCGGGGTGCCGGGTCCGGGGTGTGGCTCCTGCCTGTCCCCCCACCCTGCGCGGGGTCTCACACGCGCTCGTTTTCCGTCCCCAAAGAACTTTCCTGGCTCGACTTTCCCCTCTTTTATTGGGATTTCCCGCGGGCAGGGCTGGTGCCATCCCTGCCCCTTGTCCTCATCCCTGTGCTGTCCCTGGGGGTGTCCCAGAGCCCTGCGGGGCTGAGGAGGGAGGGGGACAGACAGACCCCTCGGGCTCTGCGCTCTGCTCCGGGCTCCTTTGGATCCGCATCACCCGGGGACGCTCCCTGCCCATCCCGGGGAGCGGGGACAGCGGGGACAGCGGGGACGGAGCATTCCGTGCCCGGTTCCCAGGGCTGGATGCTGGCACGGGTTCTGTCCCGGGCTGAGGCAGCTCTGCCTTCTGTCGAGGCTCTGGCCGTGCCTCAGCCCCGTGACGGCTCTTTCGAGGTTTGCGGCATTCCCGGCCCCGCTCCTGGCGCCGCTCCCGGCCCCGATTCGCGCTGGCTCAGCACTTCCCGGGATGTCAGGAATTTCCTGGCGCAGCGCCCGCGGCTGCCAGAGCCCGCTCGGAGGTGCCTTAAAGGCGCCGCGGCTTTTCCCGGCCGAATCCCACCGGGAAGCTGCTCCGGTTCCCCGCACCGGAGCGGGGTCAAAGCCACCGAGCAGGGCCGGGACAGTCCTGCCCAGGGCCGTGTCACTGTCCCCGTGTCCCCGAGTCCTTCCCGCAGGATTGATTTGTTTTGGTTTTTTTTTTTCACCCAAATTAAATTTGGGGTTATTTTTTGTATCCTGCTGGAGATGACAGTTATCTATTCCATTCCCAGGAGGAAGAGCTCTTCCCATTTAACCTGGATGAGTTCGTCACGGTGGACGAGGTTAAACCTGAGTTAATTTAAATTAATTACTCAGAAATGTTGAATTTCTCAGTAATTAATTTAAATTAACTCAGGTTTAAGCTGCAATTTAAGCCCTGACCACTTTTTTGTTTGTTTTTTCACTCTCAAATTAAATTTGGGGTTATTTTTTATATCCTATGACAGTTAAATATTCCATTCCCAGCATGAAGAGCTCTTCCCATTTAACCTGGATGAGTTTGTCACGGTGGATGGGGTTAACCCTGAGTTAATTTAAACTAATGACGCAGAAATATTGAATTTCTGAGTCATTAATTTAAATTAATCTCTCAAGGAGTCTCTCCCAGCCCGTGCTCCAGTCTGGGATCTCACCCGGCCTGGATGAATCTCTTCACGTTCTGACGGTGCCACTTCTCCAGGTGTCTCTGGGTGCCACCAGTGTCCTTCCAGTGTCACCCAGGGGGGACGGACCCCTTGGCACACCCTGGTGTTGTGTAGCCAGGGCTGCAGCTCCAGAAGGTTCCAGAAGGTTCCAGAAGGTTCCAGAGGGCTCCGTGGTTGCCAGGATGTCCCGTTGTGACGCCGCAGCTGTGCCATGCTGCAGTCCCAGCGTGGTCCCAAAGGGTTCAGGTGCATTCCCAGGAGCAGCAGCTCCCGGATCCCTCTGGAGAAGCCAAATCCCAACTCCCGGCCGGCCCAGGGGCTGAGGCGGCTGCGGTGCCAGGGGGGACAGGGGATGTTGGCCACGGAGCAGGAGCAGCGGGAATTCCGCTGTCCCCCAGGGCTGTGCCAGCGGGGACACGGCAGAGATCCACAGGGACCCCGAGGGTGTCCCCAAGGGATGAGCCGGGGCACAGCCCATGGGCACAGAGATCTGTCCTGGTGGCTGGACTTCATCACCCAGGAGATGTCCCACATGGAAGAACTCATCGACCAGGAGCTGTGCCAGGAGAAAGCCTGGGGAGACCAGGAACTGTGCCAGGGGCACGGCAACCGATGCCAGGATCTGTCCCAGTGGCAGGAATTCACCAACCAAGAGCGGCGCCAAGGGGAGGCCATCGGGTCCCAAGAGCGGTGCCAAGAAGCCATCGGATCCCAAGAGTGGCCCCAAGGGGAATCCAATGGATCCCAAGAGTGGCACCAAGGGGAATCCAACAGATCCCAAGAGCGGTGCCAAGGGGAATCCAACAGATCCCAAGAGTGGTGCCAAGGAGAATCCAATGGATCCCAAGAGCGGCACCAAGGGGAATCCAATGGATCCCAAGAGTGGCACCAAGGGGAAGCCATCAGATCCCAAGAGCGGTGCCAAGGGGAAGCCATCGGATACAAAAGTGTGTCCCAATGGGAAGATCTGATCAACCAGGAGATGTCCCAAATGGAAGAACTCTTCAACCAGGAGATGTTCCAGATGGAAGAACTCATCAACCAAGAGACGTCCCACATGGAAAACTTCACTGACCAAGAACTGTGCCAAGGGAACGCCAACAGATACCAGGAACGGTGCCAAGGGAATGCCAAGGGATACAAAACTGTGTCCCAATGGGAAGACTTAATCCACCGGGAGATGTTCCAGATGAAAGTATCCATCAACCATGAGACGTCCCACATGGAAGGATCCATCAACCAGGAGATGTCCCAAATGGAAGAATCCATCAACTGCAACATGTCCCACATGGAAGACTTCACCATCCAGGAGATGTCCCAAATGGAAGGATTCATTAACCACAAGATGCCCCACACGGAAGAATTCACCAACCTGGAGATGTCCCAGATGAAAGAATCTGTCAACCGCGAGATGTCCCACATGGAAGAATCCATCAACCGGGAGATGTCCCAAAAAGAAGGATCCATCAACCAGGAGATGTCCCACATGGAAGGATCCATCAACCAGGAGATGTCCCAAATGGAAGGATCCATCAACCACAAGATGTCCCAGATAAAAGAATCCATCAACCATGACACGTCCCAAATGGAAGGACCCATCAACCAGGAGATGTCCCACATGGAAGAATCCATCAACCAAGACCCGTGCCAAGGAAAAGCCAAGAGACACCCAGAACAGCACCAAGGGAAAATCGATGGATACAAAACTCTGTCCCAATGGGAAGACTTAATCCACCAGGAGATGTGCCAGATGGAAGAATTCATCAACCACGAGATGTCCCAAATGGAAGAACTCACTGACCAAGACCCGTGCCAAGGGGACACCGAGACACACCCGGAGCAGTGTCACGGGAATGTCAGGGGACACAAAACTCTGTCCCATTGGGAAGACTTCACCAACCAAGAGACGTCCCAGTGGGAAAGACTTTCCTGACCAGGAGCTGTGCCCAACAGAGCGGGGGCACGTCCTCACCCACACCGTGGGTGCCAGGGTCAGCTCCCTCCGGCCCTGCCCATCCCGACCTCCAGGGCCTTTCCCACGTGGAGCCCAGCACGGATCCCACCCCAGAGAAGTTCAGCATTCCCAGGGAGTTAATCCGAGTTTCCCCTTCTGACTCACCTGAAGTTCACAGGAAATGGCTCCCCAAAAAGGCAGGGGTGCCCAGCCATAGGCAAAGGAATTAATTAAATGAATTAAAGGAATTCCTGAATTCCTGTGGCTCTGTTGGCTGCTGCTAATGAGCCCCAGGAGGGGTTGAGTGCTCCAGGGGTGTCCCCAGGTTTGGAATGTCACCGTGGAACTGAGGGGGCTGGGGGCAGGGGCTCATGGAATTGTTTGGGTTGGGAAAATCCCTCTGCGACCACCGAGTCCGGCTCTGCCCAGGCCACCGCTGCCATGTCCCCAAGTGCCGCATGCACAGGGCTGGTGAATCCCCCGGGGATGGGCACTCCACCCCTGCCAGGGCTGGACAGCCCTTTCCAAGAAGGAATCTTCCCAAAATTATCCAACCTGGCCCAGCCTGAGGCCGTTCCCTCTCCTCCTGTCCCTGTTCCCTGGGAGCAGATCCCAGCTCCTGGCTCCAGGAATCCAGGGAGTTGTGCAGAGCCAGAAGTTCCCCCTGATCCCCCTTTTCTCCAGGCTGAGCCCCTTTCCCAGCTCCCTCAGCTGCTCCTGGAGCTCCAGAACCTTCCCTTGACTCTCTCCATCGATCCCCTGGATCTCCAATGTCCATCCAGACTCCCCAAACCCCAAGGAATGACCCCAAACTCAGCGAGCCCTGGGCTGACTATACAGTAAGAACATTTATTTCCTGGAGACACCTGGAACAGTCTCTCCCACGTCGGATGATCGGAGACACAATTCCAACCAACCCTCTCCTGCTTTGGGTTTGGTCTGTTCCCGGCTCCGATTTTTTACACCGTGGATGCTCCTTCCCGACCCCGAGTGACGAAGGAAATCCGAACACGCAGAACTGCCTGGCCCCCAAGTGTGGTTCCTGGGAAGCTCCATCACCTGGAGCTCGGCTCCTCCCCGCCGCTTTCCTGCTGCTTGGCCATGAACTTCTGCGGAGAAGGGAGAAGAGAGAGATGGTGCTGCAGGGATATCCCAGGATTATCCCTTAAAACCTGGGTGAGGAACACCTGGGCCACGTTCAGTCAGCTCCTCCCACGGCCAAGGTGGGATTTGTCCCATAAAACCCCCCAAATTCCACATGGGAAGCTCCTGAGGGGAACGTGGCCAAATCTCAGGGGTCAGGATTCCCCACAGTCTGGGCGTGGAATAAAAATATTCCGCATTCCCGCTGTATTCCCAAACCCCGTCACACGTGAACTCCCAGGGAATCCTTGGCACCCCAGAATCCAAGGATTTGGGGGGATATTCCCGTTTTTCTGGTGGTACCTCCATGTTCTGCCGGTGCAGGGGGGTCCTGCAGTGGTTGATCATGGAGGGCTCGTCGGCGTAGAAGAGGGAGCAGATCTGGCAGAAGAATCCGGCCTTGGGGACCAGGATGTCCAGAGCTGAGGACACACCACAGTCACCACACACAGCTCCCAGAAATATTCCAACCTCACCTTCCTCCAGCCAAATCTGGGGAATCTGTGATGCCTCAAGGGGAAATTACAGTTCTTAAACATTCAAAAAAATCAGGTTTTTCACCCAAGCTGGTCCCTGACCCGTTTCAATCCCCAGGTCATCTCCTTTTCCAATAAACACTCCATTTTCTGGGAATAAAACAACCAATCCCATGGAAGTTGGAGGAGATTTTGAAGGACTGACCCCATGGAAAAATGATCCCTACTGGAGCAGCTCCTGAAGGACTGACCCCATGGAAGTGGGAGCAGTTCCTGAAGGACTGACCCCGTGGAAATTCAGGAAGTTCCTGAAGGACTGACCCCACACAAGTTGGAGCAGGGACCTGATTAATTCCTGAAGGATTGATCCCACGGAAAAAGTGACCCCATGGAAGTTGGAGCAGTTCCTGAAGAACCGATCCCATGGAAAAGTGACCCATGTTGGAGTAGTCTGTTCCTGAAGGATTGACCCCATGGAAGTTGGAACAATTCCTGAAGAATCGACCCCATGGAACTTGGAACAATTCCTGAAGGACCGACCCCATGGAAAAGTGACTTGTGTTGGAGCAGCTCCTGAGGGACTGACCCCATGGAAGTTGGACCAGTTCCTGAAGAACTGAGCCCACAGAAATAGGAACAATTCCTGAAGGGCTGACCCCATGGAAAAGTGACCCATGTTGGAGCAGCCTGTTCCTGAAGGATTGATTGATCCCATGGAAGAATGATCCACGTTGGAGCAGCTCCTGAAGGAAAGACTCCATGGAAAAGTGACCCATGGTGGAGCAGTTCCTGAAGAACTGACCCCATGGAAGTGGGAGCAGTTCCTGAAGGACTGACCCCATGGAAGTTGGAGCAGTTCCTGAAGGACTGACCCCGTGGAAATTCAGGAAGTTCCTGAAGGACTGACCCCACACAAGTTGGAGCAGGGACCTGATTAATTCCTGAAGGATTGATCCCATGGAAAAAGTGACCCACAACAGAGCAGCTCCTGAAGGAAAGACTCCATGGAAGTGACTCATGTTGGAGCAGCTCCTGAAGGACTGACCCCAAGGAAGCTGGAGCAATTCCTGACCCCATGGAAGCTGGAGCAATTCCTGACCCCATGGAATTCAGTATATCCCCACATCCTCATTTCACAGCCCTGGCAGCAATTCCCTCCTTTCCAGACACCGAATGTTGGGAATAAAACTCGCCACAGGATGGGAACCCTCAGGAGACACCACGCTGCACCCCACTAATAATCAATAATTCCACCTGGATTTGGAAATTTCCGGAAAAAAACTTTCCATGAGAGGATTCTGAGTTTAACCAACTAGTTAAACAGGGATTTGGAGGAGCCAAGAAAAACCATGGATTCTGGGCCCTGACTCTGAGGTTCTCTGTGGTGGTGAGGCACAGGAGCAGTTTTCAAACGGGCAGGAAAGAATCTTCCAGCCAGGAAAACCCGGAGCATTTCAGGGGATTCCTTTGGATTTACCTTTGGGAGTGCTCTGCGTCTTGGGGACACCTGGAAAAGTCGTTTTCTTCTGCTGAGGCTTTGGTTCTGCATCTTCTGATCCCAGCTGAGCTGCTGGAGACAGAAATGCATGGTTGGGATGGAATCGTGGAATCATGGAGTGATGGAATGGAAGCATGGAACAGAATCACGGAATGATGGAATGGAACCATGGCATGGTTTGGGTTGGGAGGCACCTAAGAGACATGGACAGGGACACCTTCCACCAGCCCAGGTGGCTCCAAGCCTCGTCCAAGCTGGCCTTGATGTTCCTCACCTTTTGGCTTGGAGATTTCAGCCATTTCATCCTCTGGATTTGTATCTCCTAGAATTCCCATTTCTTCCGGTCCTGCAACAGCAACAATATCTTCGTCATCTTCATCCTCGGGCGGGTTCTTCCCTGGGAAAGCGCTTTCTTCTTCTTCATCGCCGACTTCGTCGACCGTAACAAAGTTCAGTTCCTCTTTGAGGTGATTGAAGTCGGCCAGGAAATCATCCTCGTCCTCGTTGACCTCATCCAGAGTCACCAGAGGATTGTCCTCGTTGTCCTCCTGGATCTCATCCACGGTCACCAAGGCGTTGGGGTCGTCGGGCACCTGGGAGGCCGCGCCATCCCCGGGGTTGGCTTTGCCCTCCTCGGCGGCGCTCAGCTCCGCGGGCTCGTTGAGGGGCAGCTCCTCCACCTCCCCGATCTCGTCCACGGTCACCAAGGGCTCGGCCTTCAGATCCCGCTCCTCAAATTCCCCCCGGGGCCCGTTCCCGTGGGAGCCCGGCTCCTCCTGCTCCGAGATCTCGTCCAGCGTCAGCAGCGCCCGCGGATCCTTCGCCGCTTCCGACAGCTCCTCCTCTTCCACCACCTCATCCACCACCACCAGGCCCTGGGGGTCGACGCCCGGCAGCGGCACCGGGGCCTCCTCCTCCTCCTCCCCGATCTCATCCAAGGTGACAAAGGACAGCTCACCTTCGGCTCCGCAACTCTTCCCTTTCCTCTTCTTGGGCGCCGGCTCCGGAGCGTTGGCTTTGGGGGCTTCTTTTCTCTTCCCCCTCGGGGGGTTCCGCCGCGGCGTCACCGGAGACTCGGCTTCCTCCAGCACCTCGTCCACCGTGACGAACTCGTCCAGGTTAAACGGGAAGAGCTCTTCCTCCTGGGAGTGGAATAGATAACTGTCATCTCCAGCAGGATATAAAAAATAACCCCAAATTTCATTTGAGTGAAAAAAAAACAAAAAAAAAAGTGGTCAGGGCTTAAATTGCAGCTTAAACCTGAGTTAATTTAAATTAATGACTCAGAAATTCAATATTTCTGATTAATTAGTTTAAATTAACTCATCCAGGTTAAACGGGAAGAGCTCTTCCTCCTGGGAATGGAATAGTTAACTGTCATCACCAGCACGATATAAAAAATAACCCCAAATTTAATTTCAGAGAAAAAAAACAAAAAAAAAAGTGGTCAGGGCTTAAATTGCAGCCTAACTCTGAGTTAATTTAAATTAATGACTCAGAAATTCAATATTTCTGAGTAATTAATTTAAATTAACTCAGGGTTAACCCCATCCATCGTGACAAACTCATCCAGGTTAAACGGGAAGAGCTCTTCCTCCTGGGAATGGAATAGATAACTGTCATCACCAGCAGGATACAAAAAATAACGCCAAATTTAATTTGAGTGAAAAAACAAAAATAAAAAAATGTAGTCAGGGCTTAAATTGCAGCTTAAACCTGAGTTAATTTAAATTAATTACTCAGAAATGTTGAATTTCTGAGTAATTAATTTAAATTAACTCAGGTTTAGTTCAGGAAGCCAAAGTCCTCTGGAAAAATCGCTGCAGGTCAATAGGGGATAAAATTCCATGGGTAACATTCAATGGATGAAATTCAGCAGATAAAAATCAACGGGTAAAATCCAGTGGGATAAAGGTCAATAGACAAAATTCAGAGGATAAAATTCAACTGATAAAATTCAGTGGATAAAATTGAAGGGACAAAATTAGTTGGATAAAATCCAGCAGATAAAGTTAAAGGGACGAAATTCAACAGGTAAAATTCAGCGGATGAATTTCAGTGGAGAAAGGCAAAAGGATAAAATTCAATGGATGAAATTCAGTGGATGAAATTCAGTGGAAAAAAAATCAACGGATGAAATTCAGTGGAGAAAGGCCAAAGGATAAAACTGAAGGGATAAAATTCAGTGGATAAAGTTTAACAGATAAAATCCAATGGATAAAATTCAGTGGATAAAAATCAGTGGAAAAAATCAACGGATGAAATTCAGTGGAGAAAGGTAAAAGGATAAAATTGAAGGGATAAAATTCAGTGGATAAAGTTCAAGGGACAAAATTCAATGGATAAAATTCAGTGGAAAAAAATCAACGGATGAAATTCAGTGGAGAAAGGCCAAAGGATAAAATTGAAGGGATAAAATTCAGTGGATAAAGTTTAACAGATAAAATTCAATGGATGAAATTCAGCGGATGAAATTCAATGGAAAAAATTCAATGGATGAAATTCAGTGGAGAAAGGCCAAAGGATAAAACTGAAGGGATAAAATTTAACAGATAAAATTCAATGGATGAAATTCAGCGGATGAAATTCAGTGGAGAAAGGCCAGTGGATAAAATTGAAGGGACAAAACTTAGTAGATAAAATTCAGTGGATAAAGTTTAACAGATAAAAGTCAATGGATAAAATTCCTGCCAATTCAAAGTTCTGGGTCCAAAGGAACGGGTGCCCCACCCCAAATGATGCCTCTGATTTCCTCCCTTGAGAATTCTGAATTTTTGTTACTTTTTTTGCCAAATTATTCCGTCCTACCCTCACATTTTGATGGATATTTAACACAAACTGCGAAACTGGGATTTGGGGATGGATTTATGGGATCTGATCCCAGCTGGGGTTTCCTGGCGGTCCCGGCTCTGTGAGCCTGGAAATAGGGACTGGAGAGATCCACAGGGAATGGATGCAAAGGGATTCCAGCATCCCACGGGATCCATGGACACCAGAAGGAAAAAGGGCAGGAATTTGGCGATCCCATTTTGGGAAGAGGGGAAAAGATTCCCGAGAGCAGGAACATCATGGAATCCTGGAACGGTTTGGGTTGGAGAAGATCCTAAATCCCATCCAATCCCACCCCCTGGAACATCAAAAATCCCCATTTCCATGCACTCCACCCTTTTAACCCCACGGTTTTCCATCCTTACCTCCTTCTGTTTTCCGGCGCTGCCGGCGCCGCTTTTCAAAGCTGCGGCACCGCCCCCACCAGGAGCCTGCAAAATGGGACAAAAAATTCCATGAAATCCCAGGAAATCCCAATCCTCACCCAGCACAGCTTTGTTTGGATCAAGGAGCTGCTCTGGGATGTCCCCACGGCTCCGGGGATTTGCCACCAACGGGTGACACCTGGCTCAGGAGCCTCTTTGCCATCTGCGCAGGGCTCGGAAAAGCAAATTCCAGCTCCCCAGAGGAACACGGGGCTTATTCCCACTTGGAGCTGCTCCAAGGAATTCAGTTTGGATTCGCTTCCAAAACAATTCCAAAGGATTTTCCAAGCAGTTCCACCCTCCTGGTGCAGCTAAACGGAGCAGGTTACCCAGCAGCTCCTCTGGGTGCCCCAGGATTTATGGAAAAGGGGCGATCCCAGAAACCCAGAGCGGGAGAAGCTCAGGGAACACCTGGGCACTCCTGCCCTCCTCACCTGATTCCCGCCGGGATTTTCCTTCGTGCCAGATGTTCCGCTCTCTCCCTGCTGGCTCTGCTTTGAACTGGTCGGAGATTCCAGCTGGGAATCCTTTTCCTGCTGGGATGAGCTCTTCCCGCCGTCTCCCTGCGCTTCCACTCCGGAATTTCCGTTCCCTTTCCACGGGCTGTTCCCGGCTCCCGGCTGAGCCGCGGTTTTGGGTGGGATTTTCTTCTCCAGTCCTGCTTTGGGGGGGATTTTCTGCTCCCCAGCTCTTCCCGGGGAAGGCTCGGTGACCCTGACGGGAATTTTCTGTTTCAGGATGTCCGGGACAGACACCACAGCCTTCAGAAGGGTTTTCCCAATGCAAGATTCCTTCAGCGACGCGGCGGGATTTGCCGGAGCGGCCGCGTGGTTTTCTTCGGATTTTGCAGCTCCCATCCCTTTATTTTGTGGGATTTTAACCGAACTCCCCCCGTGCGTCTCACCAACAGCATTCCCAGAGTTCTCCCCACCCTTGGAGGATGTTTTTCCCGGTGTTTTGTCCAGTTCTGTCCCAGCCTTGCCCCCAGCCTTCCCTGGATTTTCCCCAATTTTGGGCACGGATTCCTCCGCTGCCGCCTCTCTCTCTGCTCCAGCCACATCCATTTTTTTCCCTGGAGCATCCAGAGTTTTTGGGACAGCTTTCCTCTCCGTGGACGTTTCCTGGCTGCTTTTCCCAGCCTCGGGAACGGGAGTTTTCTCCGGAGCAGCCGGCTCCGCGCTGGGCTGGGTGACACCGGGTGCCACCGCGGGCGCCTCCTCCGAGCTCGGGGACGCTCCAGGGACGGCTCCTGGCGCTCCTCCGCCTGCTGGGGTGGCCTTGCCGGACGATTCCAGAGGTTCCCCGGCGGGAGCAGAGGGTTCCCCACCCTCCTTTTGGAGGATTTCCAGCTCCGGCCCATCCCGAGATTTGTCCGTCCCCGCTCCGGAAAGCGGCGCCGGTTTCTCCTCCGGCCCCGCTCCGGGCGATTTGCTGCCAGCCGGATCCGCAGGAATTCCAGGATCCAACCCCTCCACGTCCATCCCTGTGGGCGATTCCCTCGCTGCTCCTCCGGTCTGCGACTCGGGAATCTCCAGCTGTCCCGCTGGAATCTCCTCCGGGACATTTGGGGTGGGAACTTGGCCTTTCTTGGCCTCTCCCGATGGATTCCCGGCTGGTTTTTGCACCGTTCCTGACCCCTCTGGGATTTTTTTCAAGCCAGAGCTAAAAGCATTTAAAAGAAACAAAAATCAAACCGTGGGGAGAGAATTCCAGAAGTCTCAGAAAGCTCCGGATGCCACCGGTGGGAGTTTTCCCGGAGCATGAGGAAATGGGATTGGGAATTCTGCGGGAAAAGGCGACACTTGAGGTGAGTAATTCACGTTTTGGAGACCTCAGGCCTTGGAAAATTTCTGTCCCACAGAGGGAAAATTGGGAGTATCCCACCAAAAGGATGCTCCTGGATAAGGGAATTAGAGGAGCTTTGCTCTGTCTGCAGCTCCCAATCCTGAGAGAGCAGGTTTGGATTTGGGATCAGGTTTTGGTTTGGGTTTAAAATCCCTGATTTCCATGGAAAACTCTCTGGGATAACACAGCCCAAGGTGCCACAGGATGGAGCTTTCCAGGGAATTTCAGACTTCCCTGAGGGACAGAATCCCACAGGATGAGCTTGGGAAGTGCTGGAATTAGGGATGGCTGTGCCTGGAGCACACATTCCAGCAGAATTCCAGCAGGGAATTTCTGCTCCAAAACCTGGAAAAATCAGGATTGTCCAGGAGAGCGGGATTTGGGATCATCCTCCAAAGGGATTTCCCATCAATTCAACACTTATGGCTGTGCTCAGTTTGTTTTCCACTGGGATGCACGGAAAACTCCTGGGATGGAAATGGAAAACCCCCCCCGGATTAATGGAAAATGTGACCTGGGAAAAGTAGAGCCCAGGAGTGAAGTTTAATTAATTAAAGTTTCAGAAAAATAATTAATAATTTAAATAATAATTCAGCTGTTTTCTGCTGCCTAACAAATGGAATAAGTTAATTGTGTGGAAAATGTGTGCAGCAGGGAAAAACATCGACTTTCCAACTTTTCAGGAGATGGGATTCATGGAAAAGTCACATTTTAATTTTAATTTTTAATTCCACTTGTCTGGAAACAAGAAGTGGCTGTGAGGAGGAGATTCCCATTAATTTGGGAATTAATGCTCCCAAAATTCAGCAGTTTCATGGAATGACAAGGAAAGAAATGGGATCTGGGAATACAGAGCTTTTCCGTAACAGAATTCCTTAAATTTCAGGATGATCCTTACACAATTTGGGGGTTTTAACAACAAAACTCATCCAGAAATCCGAGTTGGAATCACAGAAAAAAAGGGATCGAAGCCATAATTAACAAAATTTCCTAAAAATTTCTGGGAATTCAGCAGTCAGAAAAAGGCATTCCAGAGGCAGGGATAGAGGGAAGAGCTGCAGGATGGAATAAAAGCAACAAGAGGAGCCAGGACTTGAGCAGGGGAAAAAAAACAAGGAAAAACTCCACAGAAATTGGGATTTCACGCCATTTTTCCATGATTTTTTTAATGAATCCCAAATATTTTGGCTCTGGAGGACATGGAGTGGGAAGTAGGAGCAGCAGGACACAGCTGGAGGGAGGCTCAGCAATCCCTAATCGTGGATGAACATTCCAAGAGGGAAAAGAAATGGATAAAATTCCCAAAAATCCTCGCAGGCTGTACCTTCCTTTGCTCCCATCCTCTCTCTTCACTTCCTTTTTCCCGGTTTCAGCCTGGAAAACAAAAATCCCAATTCCTGAGGGTGAAATCCCAACCCTGGAGGAAAAATCCCAACCCTGAGGGAAATTCCATCCTCGAAGAAAATCCCAAACTGTGAGGGGAAAATCCCAATTCTGAGGGAAGAACTCCAACTCTGAGAGAAAAATCCCAAACCTGAGGGGCAAAATCCCAACCCTGAAGGGAAAAATCCCAACCTGAGGGGGAAATTCCAATCCTGAGGGAAAAATACCATCCTTGTAGGAAAAAATCCCAAATCCTGAGGGAAATCCCATCCTTAAGGGAAAATATCCCAACCTTGAGGGAAAAAATCACGATACTGAGGGAAATCCTACCCTTTTGGAAAAAAATCTCAAACTCTGAGGGAAAAATTCCATCCCTGAAGAAAATCCCAACCTTGAGGGGAAAGTCCCAAACCCTGAGGGGAAAATCCCAATTCTGAGGGAAGAACTCCAACTCTGAGAGAAAAATCCCAAACCTGAGGGGGAAAATCCCAACCTGAGGGGGAAATTCCAACCCTGAGGGAAAAAATCTCAAACTCTGAGGGAAAAATTCCATCCCTGAGGGAAAAATCCCAACCCTAAGGGGAAAGTCCTGACCCTGGGGGTGAAAAATCCCAACCCTCAGGGAAAATCCTAATCATGAGGGAAAAACTCAAACCTGAGAGGGAAATCCCAGTTCTGAGGAAAAAATACTATCCTTGAAGGGGAAAATCTTGACCCTGAGGAGAAAATCCCAAGCCTGAGGAGAAAATCCCAATCCTGAAGGAAATCCCATCCTTGTGGGAAAAAAAATCCCAAACTGTGAGGGAAAAACCCCAACCCTGAGGCAAAAATCAGGCTCTGAGGGAGAAAAACCCAATCCTGAGAGAAAACCCTGACCCAGAGGGAAATCCCATCCTTGAGGGAAAAACAATCCCAAATCCTGAGGGAAAAGTCCCAAACCCTAAGGGAAAATTCTAACCCTGAGGGGGAAATCCCAATCATGAGGGAAAAATCCAATCCTGAGGGGGAAATCCCAATCATGAGGGAAAAATTCCAACCCAGAGGGAAAACCACGATCCTGACAGGAAACTCATGATCCTGAGGGAAAAATACATCCTTGAAGGAAAAAAACCTAAACCCTGAGGGAAAAATCCCAATCCTGAGGGAAATCCCATCCTTGAGAGAAAATATCCCAACCCTGAGGGAAAAACCATGATCCTGAGGAAAATCCTATCCTTGAGGGAAAATATCCCAACCTCTGAGTAAAAATCCCAACTCTGAGAGGGAAATCCCAATCCTGAGAGAAAAATACCATCCTTGAAGGGAAAAATCCCAATCCCTGAGGGAAATCTCAAACTCTGAGGGGAATATCCCAAGCCTTGATGGGAAAATATCCCAACCCTGAGGGAAAATCTTGACCCTGAGGGAAAAATTCCAACCCTGACAGAAAAATCCCAATCATGAGGGAAAAACCCAATCCTGAGGGGAAAATCCCGACTCTGAGGGAAAAAAAATCTGACTGTGAGGGAAATCTCATTCTTGAGGGAAAAATCCCAACCCTGAGGGAAAAATCCCAACCCGAGGGAAAAATCCAAATCCTGAGGGGGAAAATCCGAGCCCTGAGGGGGAAAATCCCAATCCTGAGGGGAAATCCCAATCCTGAGGGGGAAAATCCGAGCCCTGAGGGGGAAAATCCCAGCCCTGGGGCGGGGAAGGAAATCCCAACCTCGAGGGAAAAAAATTCCAAACCCTGAGGAAAAATTCCAACCCTGAAGGAAAAAAATTCTGACTGTGAGGGAAATCTCATTCTTGAGGGAAAAATCCCAACCCTGAGGAAAAATCTCAATCCTGAGGGGAAAAATCCCAATCCTGAGGGAAAAATCCCAACCCTGAGGGAAAAATCCAAATCCTGAGGGGGAAAATCCGAGCCCTGAGGGGGAAAATCCCAATCCTGAGGGGAAATCCCAATCCTGAGGGAAATCCCAATCCTGAGGGGGAAAATCCCAGCCCTGGGGCGGGAAGGAAATCCCAACCTCGAGGGAAAAAAATTCCAAACCCTGAGGAAAAATTCCAACCATGAGGGAAGATCTTGGCCCTGAGGGTAAAATCCCAACCCTGAAGGAAATCCCATCCCACAGTTCTTTGCAGGAAGGTTCTCCCACCCCAAAAAAAACCCCAAATGGTGGAAAATATGGAATTTTTACCTCAGGAATGTCTCCGTGGGAGGACAAGGAGCAGGTGAGTGTGTGTTCTCCTATGGAATATGGATATTGCTGCAGGAAACTGTGCATGGAGCGCGCGGATTTGGGGCTGTCCAGGTGCAGGATGGCCTGAAGGAAAAAAATATTAAATTCCTTAATTTATGGATAAAAAGGGAATTCTTAAACCTGCTGGAATGTCTTCCTTTTTCCCTGCCATTTTCCAGGCGTAAAAAGGGTTAAAAGTCACTTCAAAATGGTTCAATTTGGGTCCTAAAGGTGAAACTAACTTGGGTTTTTTGGGATTTAAAAGATATTTTTCCTGGATTTGGGATTTTCACTTTCAAAATATTCTCCAGGTTTTTGGGGTATTCTCCTTGGGTTTTTTAGGATTTAAAAAGTATTTCTTTGGATTTTTGGGATTTTCCTGGTTTTTCTTGGGATTTAAAAGATACTTCCTTGCATTTTTAGGATTTAAAAAACATTTTCAACAGATTTTGGGATTTAAAGGGCGTTTCCCTTGTTTTTTTGGGATTTAAAGGACATTTGCCTTGGATTTTAAAGAATATTTCCATGGGTCTTTTCTTTTTGTTTTTGGGACTTTAAAAACATTTTCTTGGTTTTTCTGTGATTCAAAGGATATTTTCCTTGTTTTTCTTGGGATTTAAAAACATTTTCCTCAGTCTTTTTTTCTTACTTAAAGATCATTTCCTTGTTTTTTTGGGATCTAAAACCTAAACAATCCCACAAAAACCCCAGCAATTCTGCCATTCCCATTCTTTTCAATTCCCAAAAATACCCAGACCCCCATCCCCAAGTCCCCAAAATTCCCCCAAAAATTCCCGCAAAAATCCACCAAAAAATCCCCAAAAATTAAAAAATCCCCCAAATCCACCAATAACTCCCCAAAAAATTAAAAAAAAACAAAAATCACAAGAAATCCCAAAAAATCCACAAAAATTAAAAAAAAAAATCCCCCACATTTCCACAAAAATCCCCCAAAATAAAAAATAATTCTAAAATAATCCCCCGAAATTCCCAAATATATTCTCAAATAAAATCCACCAAAAACCTCCAAAAAATTCCAAAGAAAAATGGCAAAGGGAGGAAAGGGCAGAAAAGGAGGGGAAAAGGGAAAGAAAGAAGGGAAAAAGAAGGAAATGGGGAAAAGGGGAAAAAGGGGCAAAAAGGGGAAAAACTGAAAGAATGGGGAAAGAAAGGGGGGAAAGGAAAAAATGGGAATAAGGAGAAAAAAAAAATCCTCCAAAATTCCCCAAAAATTTTCCAAAAAATCCCAATAAATTAAAAAAAAAAAATAAAAAATCCCCCAAAATTCCCCAAAAAACCCCATTTTCCCCCATTTTTTCCCCGCAAACCCCAATTTTCCCCTGCTGTACCCGGTGCCGGTTGCTGAGCACGGCACAGCGCTCCACCTTGCCAAGCAAAACCTGGCACACACCAGCGCCAGCTCCAAATCCCTCTGCCAAAATCCCCCAAAATCTCCTAAAAAACCCATTTCCCCCACTTTTCCCCATTTTCCCCCCTTTTTCCCCCATTTTCTCCCATTTCCCCCCCATTTTTCCCTTTGTACCCGGTGCCGGTTGCTGAGCACAGCACAGCGCTCCACCTTGCCAAGCACAAGCCGGCACAAACCAGCTCCGCTTCCTGGAACCCCTCTGCCAAAATTCCCCAAAATCCCCCAAAAAACCCCATTTTCCCCATTTTTTCCCCCATTTTCCCCCAATTTTCCACATTTTTTCCCCATTTCCCCCGTTGTACCCGGTGCCAGTTGCTGAGCACGGCACAGTGCTCCACCTTGCCAAGCACAGCCTCACACACACCAGCGCCAGCTCCCAAATCCCTCATCCAAAAATCCCCAAAAATCCCCATTTTCCCCCCATTTTTTCCCCCATTTTTTCCCCAATTTTCTCCCATTTCCCCCCCATTTTCCCCTGCTGTACCCGGTGCCGGTTGCTGAGCATGGTGCAGTGCTCCACCTTGCCAAGCACAAGCCGGCACAAACCAGCTCCGCTTCCTGGAACCCCTCTGCCAAATTCCCCAAAATCCCCCAAAAAACCCCATTTTCCCCCATTTTTTCCCCCATTTTTCCCCATTTTTCCCCCGTTTTACCCGGTGCCGGTTGCTGAGCACGGCACAGCGCTCCACCTTGCCAAGCACAGCCTCACACACACCAGCGCCAGCTCCCAAATCCCTCATCCAAAAATCCCCAAAAATCCCATTTTCCCCCCCATTTTTTCCCCCATTTTCCCCCATTTTTTTCCCCAATTTTCTCCCATTTCCCCCCCATTTTCCCCTTTGTACCCGGTGCCGGTTGCTGAGCACGGCGCAGTGCTCCACCTTGCCAAGCACAAGCCGGCACAAACCAGCTCCGCTTCCTGGAACCCCTCTGCCAAAATTCCCCAAAATCCCCCAAAAAACCCCATTTTCCCCCATTTTTTCCCCCATTTTCCCCCAATTTTCCACATTTTTTCCCCATTTCCCCCCGTTGTACCCGGTGCCGGTTGCTGAGCACGGCACAGTGCTCCACCTTGCCAAGCACAGCCTCGCACACACCAGCGCCAGCTCCCAAATCCCTCATCCAAAAATCCCCAAAAATCCCCATTTTCCCCCCCATTTTTTCCCCCATTTTCCCCCATTTTTTCCCCATTTTCCCCATATTTTCCCCACTTTCCCCCGTTGTACCCGGTGCCGGTTGCTGAGCACGGCACAGCGCTCCACCTTGCTGAAGCGCAGCCTCACACACACCAGCGCCAGCTCCCAAATCCCTCATCCAAAAATCCCCAAAAAACCCCATTTTCCCCCATTTTTTCCCCCATTTTCCCCCATTTTTTCCCCAATTTTCTCCCATTTTCCCCATTTTCCACTGCTGTACCCGGTGCCGGTTGCTGAGCACAGCACAGTGCTCCACCTTGCCAAGCACAAGCCGGCACAAACCAGCTCCGCTTCCTGGAACCCCTCTGCCAAAATTCCCCAAAATCCCCCAAAAAGCCCCATTTTCCCCCAATTTTCCACATTTTTTCCCCATTTCCCCCCATTTTACCCAGTGCTGGTTGCTGAGCACGGCACAGTGCTCCACCTTGCCAAGCACAGCCTCACACACACCAGCGCCAGCTCCCAAATCCCTCATCCAAAAACCCCCCAAAATTCCCCAAAAAACCCCATTTTCCCCCATTTTTTCCCCAATTTTCCCCCATTATTTCCCCCGCTGTACCCGGTGCCGGTTGCTGAGCACGGCGTAGTGCTCCACCTTGCCGAAGCGCAGCCCGGCGCACACCAGCTCCAGCTCGCGGTAGCCCTGGGCCGGGAGGTTCCCCAGGTGCACCAGGTGCGAGCGCAGCGAGGACGCGTCCGCCTGCAGGGAGAGCGGCCGTGGGAACGGGGGGAAAAACGGGGAAAAAAGGGAGAAAAAAGGGAAAAAAAAGCAAAAATAAAGGGGAAAATGGGAAAGAAAGGGGAAAAATGAGGGGGGAAAAAAGGGGGAAAAAAGGGGAAAAAGGGAAAAGAGAAAAAGGGGGGGGGAAGGAGAAAAAGGGAGGGGAAGGGAAAAAGGGAAAAAAGGGAAAAGGAAAAAGGGGGGAAAAGGGGAAAAGGGAGAAAAAAGGGATTAAAAAGCAAAAATAAAGGGGAAAATGGGAAAGAAAGGGGAAAAAATGAGGGGAGGAAAAGGGGGAAAAAGGGAAAAGAGAAAAAGGGGGGGGGAAGGGAAAAAGGGATAAAAGGGAAAAGGAAAAAGGGGGGAAAAGGGGAAAAGGGAGAAAAAAGGGATTAAAAAGCAAAAATAAAGGGGAAAATGGGAAAGAAAGGGGAAAAATGAGGGGGAAAAAAAGGGGAAGGGGAAAAAGGGGGGGAAGGGAGAAAGGGAAAAAAGGGAAAAGGAAAAAGGGGGGAAAGGGGAAAAAGGGGGGAGAAGGGAAAAAGGGAGAAAAAAGGGGAAAAAGGGAATAAAAAGCAAGAAAAAAGGGGAAAATGGGAAAGAAAGAGAAAAAAGGGGAGGGGAAGTGAAAAAAGGGAGAAAAAGGAAAAAATAGGAATAAAGGGGCAAAAAGGGAAGAAGGAAAGGGGAAAGAACAGGGAAAGGGGGAGAAGTGAAAAAATGGAAAAAAAGGAAGAGGAAAGGGTGGGGAGGAGATGAGAGAAAACTGGGAAAAAAGGGAATAAAGGGAGGAAAAGGGAGAAATGAAAAGGAAGGGGAAAAAGAGGGAAAGAAGAGGGAAAAAAGGGGAAAAAAGGGGGAAAAAAGAGGGAAAAAAGGGGGGGGGGAGGGGAAATTAGGGGGGAAAAAGGAAGAGAAAAAAGAAAGAGCAAAAAGGGGGGGGAAGGGAAAAAAATTTGGGATAATGAGGAGAAAAATTTGGGACAATGAGGAGGAAAATTTGGGACAATGAGGAGGAAAATTTGGGATAATGAGGGAGAAAATTTGGGATAATGAGGAGAGAAATTTGGGATAATGAGGGGAAACCACCTTGGATCAGACTCCTTGATGAGAGAAATGAAAATAGCTTCCTTTAGGGAGGAAAAAAAAGATTGGAGCTTAGTTAATTATAATTGATAACTGATCAATAATTAATAATTGATGAATTAATCATCATTAAAGTGTTCATCGTGTCAAAATTATAAAAAAAAACCTTCCCAGTGGGGGAAAACCTCTTGTTGTAAACCCCAGGAAGTGCTAAGAACTCCATTGAAATCCTAACATTTTGCTTGAAGCGGAAAACTGGGAATTTGTTCCCCAGTTTTTCCCACAATCCCCAAATCTCTCCAATTCCTAATTTCTTCCAATTCTTCACATTCCCACAATTCCCCATAATCCCCCAACTGCTCCCAATCTCACAATTCCTAATTTCTCCCAATCCCCCCAACACCCCCAATTCCTAAAATTCTCACAATTCCCGACTTCCCTCAATCCCACAATCTCCAGATTCCCAAAATCCTCAATTGCTCAATTTCCCTCAATCCCACAATCCCTAAAATTCCCAAATTCTCACGATCACAATCCCTAAAATTCCTCCCAATCCCCCAGCTCCCAAATTTCCCAACTCCTAAAACTCCCCCGATGTTCACGCTCCCACAATTCCCAAATTCCTCAACTTCCCACAATCCCCCAAAATCCCCAATTTCCCCCAATCCCCAACTTCCCTCGATCCTGCAATTCTCACTGCTCCCACAATCCCCAAATTCCCCAATCCTCATAATCCCAAAATTCCTAAGATCCCCACAATATCCCAAATTCCCAACTCCCCCAGTTCCTGCAATCCCCAAATTCTCAAAATTTCTCAATTCTCACAAATCCCAAATTCCCCCCAACTCCTGAAATTCCCAAAGTGCTCAACTCCCCTCAATCCCCAGAATTCCCAAATCCTCACAATCCCCCAAATTCCCAACTCTCCCAAATTCCTCACAATTCCCCACAATTCCCAGATTCCCAAAATCCCCAAATTGCTCGACTTCCCTCAATCCCACAATCCCTAAAATCCCCACGATCACCAAATTACCAAAATTCCCGACTTCCCACAATGTCCCCAACTACTGAAATTCCCCAAATCCCCACAATTCCCAAACTCACCAAATTCCCACAATTCCCCAATTTCCCACAATCCCCAAACCCACACAATCCCCCAAAATCCCCAATTTCCCCCAATTCCCCAACTTCCCTCGATCCTGCAATTCTCACTGTTCCCACAATCCCCCCAAACCCCAAAATGCTCGACTCCCCTCAATCCCACAATCCCTAAAATTCCCGAATTCCCACAATTCCCACAATTCCTAAAATCCCCACAATCTCCCAAATTCCCAACTCCGCCAGTTCCTGCAATCCCCAAATTCTCAAAACTCCCACAATGCCCCAAATTCCCCAAATTCCCCCCAAGTTCCCCCATTCCTAAAATCCCCACAACTCCCTCAATTCCCAAAGTGCTCAACTCCCCTCAATTCCCCAAATTCCCAATTTCTCTCAATCCCACAATTCCCAAGTCTTCGCGGTTCCCCAAATTCCCAATTCCCTCAATCTCACAATTCCCGAATTCCTCCAATTCCCGCAATTCCTAAACCCTCGCGCTCCCCCAACCCCCACAATTCCCACATCCCCCAACTCCTAAAATTCCCCCAGCTCCCAAAATGCTCAACTTTCCTCAATCCCACAATCCCCAAAGTTCCCAAATCCCCACAATCCGGCAAATTCCCAACTCCCCCAGTCCTTACAATCCCCACGATCCCCAAACCCCCCCAATCCCCAACTTCCCTCAATCCCACACTTCCCACAATTCCAAAATCCCCAACTTCCCTCAATCCCACACTTCCCACAATTCCCAAAATCCCCAATTTCCCTCAATTTCTCCCAATCGCCCAACTCCCTCCATTCCTAGAATTCCCTCAATCCCACGATCTCTGCAATTCCCAAAATCTCCACAATCCCCAAATTCCCAAAATCCCCAACTTCCCCCAACTCCT